AATTCAGTGCCTTGCAGCTAGAGGGCTGAGGTCCTGGTTCCTCATTGGCTGCCAGCCAACAACATCTCTTAGCTCCTTAAGGCCATCTGTATTCCTGGTTAAATTGTCCCCACTTCTTCCTGCCACTCCTACGACCCATGAATCTCTCCAATTTTTCTTTTGCCAAATCTCTACTGCTTTCAACCTGAGAAAGTTTTCCACTTTCAGGGGAATGTGTGATTAGATTGGGATAATCCGAGATAATTTCCTTTTCTTAAAATCTGTATCCTCTTCATATTGCTTTTGGCATGTAACATAATATACTCACAGGTTAAGGGCATGAGCATTCTTTAAGAGGCCATTATTCTGCCTACACAGTACCTATTCTTCTGAGATGATTTGGAGAAATACCTCACAGCAATATGTCTGCATTTATTTTGGCTACAGTATTAAGTTTTGTTTGAATAGTAAAGAAACTAGACATTCTCTGAACAGGTATTATGAACCAAACCTTACTAGTTAATAGAAAAAAAGGTTGACTATGGGTTTACAGGAGGGAAAGATCTAAGATAGACAATCAGTAAATCTTGTAAGTAGAATGAAAACAGGCAATCAATGATACAGGAGCAATGCAGCTGTCTATTTTATCTAGCAGCAAAGGAAAATGGGGTTGCACAATTACTGTATCTTGTGTTATTCCAAGTATGAGGTTTTCCTGAAGCCTATTAAATATTAGTAGTCTCCTATTAAAAACACAAGATAATCTCCTATTTTGCACATAACTGAATTTATTTTGTTTGAAAGTAATTTAAATTCAAATAAAAATTTTAAACAAACATTTTTGAAAAGTAATTGAAAGAGATTATGCTGAGTGAAATAAGTCAAGTAGAGAGAGTCAATTATGATATGGTTTCACTTATTTGTGGAGCATAAGAAATAACACGGAGGACATGGGGAGATGGAGAGGAGAAGGGAGTGGAGGGAAATTGGAGGGGGAGATGAACCATGAGAGACTATGGAAGCTGAAAAACAATCTGAGGGTTTTGAAGGGGGAGGCGGGAGGTTGGGGGAGCCTGGTGGTGGGTATTATGGAGGGCACATATTGCATGGAGCACTGGGTGTGGTGCATCAACAATGAATTCTGTTACACTGAAAAGAAATTAAATTCAAAAAAATGAAAAAAAGTAATTGAAATTCTCTTTTAAAAGTTTTTCCAACAAAAAAAGAATCACCGATTTTCAAAATTTTTTAGCTAGTAAGTTGACTAAAATTAAAAATCAATTCAATAATACAGAATTTTATTTTATTTTATTTATTTTTAAGATTTTACTTATTTATTTGACAGAGATCACAAGTAGGCAGAGAGTCAGGCAGAGAGAGAGAGAGAGAGAGAGAGAAGCAGTCTCCCCACTGAGCAGAGAGCCCAGTTCGGGGCTCGATCAGGACCCCGGGATCATGACTGGAGCCGAAGGCAGAGGCTTAACCTACAGAGCCACCCAGGCACCTCAATAATACAGAATTTTAGAGAGTCTACTATTTGCTAGGTATCTATGCTAGATCCAGAGGATACAAATATAAATCCATTTGTTATACTTCCCGCCTACAGGAAACTCATAGGCATATAAATGAATGTATACAGTGCTGGGCAGCCAAGGGCTCTAGGAGAAGCAAGCACAAATGGAAGGAATGATCTACTCTATGAAGCAGTAAGATAAGCCTTTTCTGGGTTTTCTTTTGAAATTTTTGAAGACTTAATTTTTTTAGGGAAGTTTTAGATTCACAGAAAAATTGACCGGAGGATACAGAGATTTCCCTTATCCCCTCTTCCCTATATATGCATGGCCTTTCCCATTATCCACATCTGTCAGAGTGGTACATTTGTTACAATTAATGAATCTACACTGACACATCGTAATAAGCCCAAGTCCATAGTTTGGGTTCACTGTTGGTGTTGTACGTTCTGAGGGTTTGGACAAATGTATGATAACATGTGGTCACCATCATAGCATCATAGAGAGTATGCTCATTGTTCTAAAAATCCTTTGGGCTCTGCTTATTCACTCCTTTTTCCCTCCAATCCTAACCCTTAGCAACCACTGGTCTTTTTACTGCCTCCATAGTTTTGCCTTTTCCAGGATGTCATGGTTGGAATCATACAATATGTAGCCTTTTCAGATCAGTTTCTTTCACTTAGTAATAAGCAGGTTCCTCCACATCTTTCCATAGCTTGAAGCTCACTTCTTTTTATCACTGACTAATATTCCATTGTTTGGGTGTATCACAGTTACTTGTTCATTCACCTATTGAAGGACAGACATCTTGGCAGTTTCTAAGTTTTGACAATAATGGATAAAACTGCCATAAGCCCGATAAGCCTCTGTGTGTGGTTTTTGTGTGGATATAAGTTTTGAACACCTTTGGATAAATACCAAGGAATGAGATTGCTGGATTGTATGGTAATAGTACATTTAGGTTTTGTGGGCGTTTCTGGTTTTGAAGGAGGCATAAACAAAGGCACTGAAGTACAAAAAGGCACAAGGTATTTGGAGAAGTCTATTGTGTTTGGGGAACATAACATATTCACAGGTTAAGGGCATAAGCATTTTTTAAGAGGCCATTATTCTGCCTACCACAGTACCTACTGTTCTAAAATTATTTCCTGGCATATCCCTCACTGGAGTTATTTGGAGAAATACTTCCCAGCAATATGTCTACACTTATTTTGGCTACAACGTTAAGTTTTGCTTGAAAAATAGAGAGACTAGACATTCTTTGAACAGGTATAATGAGCCAGACCTTACTAGTTAACAGAAAAAAGGGTAAAGAGCAAGGGGCCTGTGGTGAAGTTAAGGCTGGAAGGGTGGCGGGGTGGCAGCCAACCATGCCCTACATTTTATTTTGTGGAGATGAAGTGAGAGCAAAGACTTTTTAATCAGGGACAACACAGGATTGGATTTGTACTTTAGAAAGATTACATTGTCAGAACAGAAGAGAATGACTCTGGGCTGGAGGTCAGTTATGGCCTGGAAAACCCGTCTGGATAAGATTGTGTCTTAAAGATTAAAGCCTAAATTAATGCGATGGAAATGGCAGCGCAGAGCAGTGGGAAGATGAGAGAGATTTGGCAGTAGGAATCATCAGACTTCACGATTGTTAAAGGCATGCGGGAAAACAGGGAGGGAAGGGAAAGGCAAAGAAGGAGAAGGAGGGCTTGAGAATTATTTGAAGATTCCTGACACAGGAGGAAAATCTAGATATTTCATGAAGGCTGACTAAGTTAAGGAATAAAGGAAAGCAGGGGAGAATAGATAGCGACAAAGACTTTCTGTTTGACCAAATTTTAGGCATCTGTGAGTCCTCCTCTCAGGTAGGCTGCCTGCCTGGGCCCTGTCTTTGGCTGGCCAAGTCCAGTTTTAGTAAGAATCCTGCTAGGTCAGTTTGGAGAGACCCTCCCACCCTTTCTATCTGACCACCCTTGATATCTAATCAAATTCCTCATCCCTCTCCTTGGATGTACGACTACACTGGCCTCCTCTGCAAGAATCCTGTGAAATTAGTTTAGCAAGAATCATTCCCACCCTTGATGTCCCCTCTTACTAATTTTCTATCCACTGACCCCTCTCACTCTGCTTTTTAGCTGTACATCTCCAGCTGTCTTTGTTGTATTTGTAGTTGAGCCTAATCTCTCTCCCCTACTGCAATAGTCTTGACACCTGCAGCAATCGCCCTCAATAAGGTCTTCCTTATAGTTTCAACAAGTGTAGGAATAATTTTTTTAACAATGGGGAGAAGCATCACTCCAGAACTAGTTACTTCCAAACATCTCTAAAGCTTAATTTGTTGCATACATTTTTTTAACTATCGTATAAATAAATAACATAACTGAACTACGTGCTTCAGGCATTGTGATGTACACAACCCAGCCATCTGTGCCCCCAAGAGCCTAGCAAGATAACAAGATGGCTTCCTTGCCATAGTTTAAAAATTTATATATACATATATTTACATATACACACATATTTACATATATTTACATGTATAAATATGAAATATAAATATGAAATCCTCTCTATAAAAAAGAGAGATAGAGTAAACAGTTTAATACCCACTGTTTGACAGTTCATGCAATTACTTCCTTAAAGATTTTACAATAATCTTACAGGGTGCTAAAGCCTGGTGAGCTTTAAAGGAAAAGAGTCCAAGTCTTGGTAATATTTTGAGGTTGCAGTCTAGCACAGGCTACTTTTGTGTTTCCTAACCTCGATTTAATTGCAAGCTCAGCTCAAGAGAATAAAGGAAGCTGTTTTAACTACTTGCGTTCACTGCTGTAGCCTGAAAGTTGCTTGACATATAGAGGAATGGGCATGGCTCTGTTCTAATAAAACTTTATTTTTTTATGGACATCGAAATTTGAATTTCATGTTATTGCACGTGTTCCAAAGCATACTTTATTTTCTTAACCACTGAAAAATGTAAAAGGCATTCTTAGCCCACAGATGTACAGAAAACAGCCGACGGGCCATATTTGCCGTTAGGCTGCAGATGGTCATCTGGTATGTACACAACGTCAGAATTCGAAAAATGTTAAGTGTGAAGTGTGGGACCTTTTGCAGGACATCCGTGGTAATGTTACAGGCCACCTTCCAATACGATGACACAAGTGGCAGCCGCGGTGGCCATGCCCAGAAATGGAGAAAGCAAGAGGGCTGAGCAGAGTGGTACGAGCACCGCCCCACGCCGCTCGCCACCCTCTCGGCCACGGGTAACGCGCGCCCAGCTCCGCGGATTGGACCGCACGTAGACACGGTCCTCCCAGACCCGGAAGAGGAAGCCCGCAGGCAAACACACATATGAAAGCGACCCCTCCGGGCCCCACCCCGCTGCACCTCCCCCGACGCAAACGGCGCGTGCACGCACGCACGTCTCCCGCCCTTCGCTCACTCCGACGCTATTGCGCATGTCTGGGAAAGGGAGCAACGATTGACCGGGAGGCCCTGGCCGGAGCCGGGCGGAGGGCCTCCTCCGGGCCGGGCGGGTAGATACGGCCCGCGCGTGCGTCACTTCCGCTGGGGCGGGACGGAGCTGTGGGGGTGGTGCCTCGACCGCGGCTCTTCTGTTTGTGTTGGTAGCTCAGCTGATGCGGGCAGGCCAGAGTGGATGTCAGTGCGGGCCGGAGGCGCGTCGGCGCTGCTGCCCATATAGTTGCGGCTTGCATCCCGGTGAGTGGCGGCTGGGGGGGACAGAGGCGGGACGATAGGTTAGGGAAGAGGGCAGCCTGGCCTCCCCGGGCACTTGTGTGGCCCTTCTCTTTCCTCGAAGGGCACTTGTAGAGGAAGAGGGCGGGGAGCCGCCGGGCTTCGAGGAGGTCCCGGGACCAAGGTTCCAAGAGGCATCCGGGCACCGGAAGGAGCCGCGGATCTGGGGCTGATTGGTGCGCGGTGTCCGCCCCCGCCGTCCGCCGCCTCGGGTTCTGCTGGCCTGGTCCAGGTCACCCTGTTTTGGTTTCCCTCGTCCCGCCCTGCGCTTTCTGGCCCACCCCCGCAGCTCCCAGCCTGGTTGCCCCGATCGTTTTGGCTGCGCCCGGACTGGAGGGTTCTCCCGCAGTTCCCTAGTGACTGAAAACGCTTCCCTCTTCTGCACCGTCCTCCACCGTCGGCGCACGGGCGCCTTCCGCTGCGTGTTTGAGTGGCCAGCGGTTTCTTTTTGGTTCCCCGCGCGCATCTGACTCCCTCCCTCCCTCCCTCCGTTGCTGTTGCTTCGGCAGGTTCAGGTGTGTGCTTTTTCAGAGATGAAGCGGTGTGAATCGTTGTGTAGCCGTGCTCCCCGTCATTGTCATTTCTGTCACCGTGCTGGGGGGAACCTGCTGTCTACGCCTAATACAGTACCTTGAAAGTGCTGACTTCTTGGGGAAACAAAAGTGTCCATAAGGGACTGTCTTCTTTATATTGGGGTTTTATTTCCAGTAACATCTGCATCTGGTTCTTGCATATAGTCCTTGTTGCTGAGATTTCAACTGACAAAAGTACGCTTCATCGTGTTGAGGGACTGCTGTTAAAACAGTGAAATAGTAAGCATTTTAAAATCCGAGAGTTTAAAAAAAAAGTGTATTAAACTGTGAGCCGAGAATTGATGCCTCTTATGGAGGCAGTTGTTTCAAGCCCATTGTAGTTAATTTGTTAAATTGCGCCATTTACTTGTACTTTAATTATAAGAACATGTTCTTCATAATTTCTGTTACCAAACTGTTTCTCAATGTTGATCTTACTTTCCTATTTCTGTCTTAGATCTATGTTAAAGTCTAGAGAGAATGTCTTCATAGTGAAGTTGAGGGAGAAGATCAGTTGACTGGTGTATTTATTTGCATCACTTACTAAGCGGATAAAAGTACAGCTTGTACTGAGTTGTTCTTTTGCTCAGTAACGACAAAGGAATTGCGCGGAAGGGTACATATTGCCTCACTTGTGGAACGCATCTGTGAAAAGGTCAGAGTTAGAACTCTTAGCCTTGGACAGCTTTCTGTCATTACATGTCTTAGTTATAATCTTTCTCTCCCATGTTATATATCTTAACTTTGTTCATTATTGAGTTTTTTTTAGAACTTGCTGTTGTATTGGTTTCCATGACTCTGATTTTTTCAGGATATCTTTTCACCTGTGCTTTTTTGTTTCTGGAAAGACTTCTTCCTAACTCTTGATGTCAGTCAAGGATCTACCCTGTTCTTTCTAAAGAAAACAGAATTTCAAAACTTCAAATCTAAATACTTTAGTAGGTCCATGACTCTTGAAATGTTATGGAAAATATAGTGTGTGTGTGTGTGTGTGTGTGTGTGTGTGTGTGTATGCAAATAATAATTTCTCAAGGACGAGGATCTGTGATCCCCCAATTCTCAGGAATTATTACTATAAACTTTTTTTTTTTTCCCCTGGTAAATCCAGTCTTGGGTTTTTAGTTGTCACTGTGCTGGTATCTCCAGACTTAAACCACAGCCTGTGTTCCTATCATACATTTGAATGTCCCATGTTAGCTCATCCAAGAGATTTTTCTTTCATATTAAATTGGTCCCCCCAGTCATCTCGTTTTCGCAAGTGGTATTCTCTATGTATCTCTGAGTAAAAACACTTGAGTTGTTTTGACATCTTCTCCTCACCCCATTCATTCTTCCCTGTTACCAAGTCCTGTGTTTTGCTATTTCCCCACTTTCAAAGTGGGGCTCAAAGTAATCCTTTCTCTAGTACAGTACCAGTGCCTTAATTCAAACCCTTGTCACTTTATGCCTGCATTATTGGAATAACTTAGGGAAGTCCTATGTAGATTCATTCTTTTATCCTCAGCTGAGCCTCCAGCTAGCAGTTCCCTTATTTTCCTCCAGTTAAAACACAATTGTATTCCCTAGAGGTTGGTCTGTACCTCCCTATTCTATTTATTTCTCCAGTGTACTTATACTACCCTAATAGTTGGTACCCTAGTCTTCCCTGCTCTTTCTCAGTAGGTGATGGCACCTGCCACTTGACATTCTTTTCTTTATCTTTTTGTAGTCTAACCTCCTCCAGCAGAATTTACTCTCAAAATTTTTATCTGCATTTATCAGTGTTGTGATTTGGAAATAGCTAAACTAAGCTTGTTGATTTTGTTGGTAGTTCTGTGTTTATTGATTTTTGCTTGGAATTGTAGTTTGTAAGAGGTGTATTAAAATATTGTCATAAGATTGTCTAGTCTTTCCATAATTCCTCCTTTTTTTTTTTTTTTTTTTGCTTTATATACTGTATCTCAGTGTCTTGTTAGGTGTATTCATAATTGGTTATGAGAGTTATGTCATTGGAAAGAAACAATACAGACCCATTACTTTTATAGCTCTGTCTTCTGCTTGACTATTGGGCCCATTTTTCCAGCATTTTCCGTGTTTACTTACCTTCAGCCACCTGGTGGTTCTTTTAGTCTTGAGTAGACAGAGCTCATTACCGTCTCCAACACTTTATTGCTTTTTCCTTTGCCTTGAATGCTTTTTTCCCAGATTTTAATAATTTGCTTTGTTACTTATTTGAGGTCTCCAGTAAAATGTCAACTCAGTTCTCTTGATCATGTCAAGTAAAATAGCCCATTTGCCCTGAGTTTTGGAAATATCCTTTCATGGTAGTTTGTTGTTGTTTAAAGACTTACTTATTTGTGAGAGAGAGAGCACAAGCTTGAGCACACATGCGTGAGAACAAGGGAGAATCAGAGAGAGGGGGGGAGAGAATCTCAAGTAGACTCCCAGCTCACTGCGCGGCCAGAGATGGGACTCTGACATCAAGACTTGAGCTGAAACCAACGTCAGAAGCTTGATAGACTGAGCCACCCAAGTGCCCCCTTTAATGGTAGTTTTAGTTGATTCTGCTGAAACTCCTTGGGGTTCACCAGCTCTGACTGGTTTTCATTTGCTTGGGGTCTGTGCACCATTCAAGCAATGTGACTGAAAAAGATCTCGGGCTTGTGATTTCTCAACTATGGATTTACCACTATTGGGTTTTTTTTAACTGTAATAAAAACCAAGTATTATAACATTTACCATCTTTACCATGTTTAAGTATGTGGTTCAGTGGCATTAAGTACATTCACATTGTTCTAAAACATCTCCAGTACTTTTTCATCTTAGGGAACTAAAACTGTGCCCATTAGACACTCCTTTTGCCCCATTCTCCAGTTTCTAGAAATCATTCTGCTTTCTATAGCAGTGACTTTGAATACTCTAGATACTTTGTGTAAGTGGAATCACACAGTATTTGTCCTTTTGTGACTGGCTTATTTTACTTAAAATAATAGCCTCAAGAGTTCATCCCTGTTGTAACATGTGACAGGTTTTCCATCCTTTTAAAGGCTGAATAATATTCCATTGTAGGTAAATACATTTTGTTTATCTGTCCATGGACATTTGAGTTGTTTCCACCGCTGGTATTGTGTGCTGCTATGAACACAAGTGTGCAGATGCCTCTTTGAGACCCTGCTTTCAATTCCTTTGGATATATACCCAGAAGTAGGGTTGCTAGATCCTATGGTATTTCTATTTTTAATATTTTTGAGGAACCACAATACTATTTTCTGCAGCAGCTGCTCCATTTTACAGTCCCAGCAACGGTGCACAAGGGTTCTAACTTCTCCATATCTCTGCCAACACTTGTTATTTTCTGTTTGTTTTTTTGTTTTTGTTTTTTTTTAAAGATTTTATTTATTTCTCAGAGAGAGAAAGCACAAGCAGGCAGAGTGGCAGGCAGAGGCAGAGAGAGAAGCAGGCTCCCTGTGAGCAAGGAGCCCGATGCAGGACTTGAACCCAGGGCCCTGGGATCATGACCTGAGCCGAAGGCAGCTGCTTAACCAACTGAGCCACCAGGTGTCCCTTTCTGTTTGTTTTTAATCACAGCCTTCCTAATGAGTCTGGAGTGATATCTCATTTGGTTTTGATTTGCATTTTTCTGATGATTCAGTGATGTTGAGCATCTTTTCATATGCTTGTTGGCCATTTGTATATCCTCTGTGGAGAAATTTCTACTCAAGTTCTTTGCCAGTTTTTTTAATTGGGTTATTTGATTTTTTTGTTGTTGACTTGTAGGAGTCCATTACTAGTTTTGAGCATGGCTTTTTATTCACAGGTACTTTAATTGTATTTTTTCAAGTATTTCTGGTTTGGGGATTGTGGGGCTTTTATGTTAATTCAACTTATTCATTGGCCATAAATCCTGGATATCAGAAAAGCCGGGAAGGTAGATGTGTTGGTTTCTTTTCTCTCTGTCTCTCTGTAAAATTGGAATTTTGAAATCATATGTATACATGTGATTTACAAAGCTTTTAGTTCAGACTGTAATCTGAACATTTTTTTTTAATTTTATTTATTTATTTGACAGACAGAGATCACAAGTAGGCAGAGAGGCAGGCAGAGAGAGAGAGAGAGGAAGGGAAGCAGGCTCCCTGCTGAGCAGAGAGCCTGATGCGGGGCTCGATCCGAGGATCCTGGGATCATGACCTGAGCCGAAGGCAGCGGCTTTAACCCACTGAGCCACCCAGGCGCCCTGTAATCTGAACATTTACAGTGGGGTTCTGGGTTTCTATCTTTCTCAGTCTTGTCTGTTCCATTCTGTCAGAAATCTGCTGAATCCTCTTTCTAGTGTCACTCCTTTGCTTAAAATATTTCATTGACAGTCTGATCTTTAATTTCTTTGGCGAGATTTGTAAGAGCCTTCATAATTTGACCCCCAAAACCATCTTTGCAGTATCATCTACTTGTCCCTCATTATTCTCATTACTCTTTCTAGGTCCTAGAGCGAAACTAGACTGCTTGCAATTTTTGTTCATATTGTTTATGCTTTCTTAAATGCTTTTTTTGTCTTTGTATTTTTTCCTATTAAAATTCTCTCCTGTTCTCAGCTTTCTACTTAATGAATTCCTTTTTAACTTTGTCCAGTTTTTAGTGTCTTTTTATTATTTTTTGAACTTACTTGGATATTTGCTCTGACCATTCTCATGGCACTGTTAATGTGTTCTAAAACCATTTGCTTTTTTTCTTTTTTCTGTTTGCTTTTAATTACAAAGGTACTATTTGCTCATTGTAAAAAATACAGATAATACAAAAGGAAAAAGAAAAAGTCCCTCTCCTTGTTCTCTTTTGATCCCACTCCTTGGTTCACAAGAATAAACAAACTAGTGCTTACCCTTTCGGAATCTGTGTGTGCGCGCGCATGCATGTGCCACATGTGGACAGCCTCACATTTAAACTGCACCTATAGGTTTTTCTCTTTCATTACCTAACGTCTTTGTATCTCCACATGTGTATAGTGTATGTATTATAGCTGCTGGCCTTTTTTACTGTAGTGTATATGAAGAATGGGCAGATCATCTAGTTTCTTTAACTGCTGCAGAATACTATATATGGTAACCCATTCTGCAGTTTATATATGCCATAGTTTATTGAGCCATTCCTTTCTAGAAGACCTTTAGAGTTGTTTTTCATTGTTTCATTATTTCAGTCAATGTATTAGGGAATGTGTATATATACCTCTGCACTCTTATACAAGTATTTCTGTAGGATTCTTAATAGAGTTTTAATAGTGAAATTGCTGATCAAAAAATATGCCTTTAAGATTGTGATAGATAGTATTTAAGGTATTTAAGATTTCATTGGATATTGTCAGATAGCCCTATGTGTCCCATTTCTCCAGCCTATTATTAATACTGAATATTATCAACCATTTACATTATCACCTATTGTAAAAACAAAGCATGTTTTAATTAGTATTTTTCTTTGATGTGGTAAGGATATTTTCATAATTTTACTGTTTGTATTTCTTCTTATTCTACATTAACTGGCCTGCTAACGTCCTTTGTCTATTTTTCTGTCAGCTGAATCTTTCTTTTTTTAATTGCATTCATCTTACATTGTGGTTATGAACCCCTTGTCTGTTAGATGTGGCACATAGCTTCTTGTAGTCAGACCTTTAATTTAATAAGCACAACTAGATAGTGAAATGTTTTTTTGCATGGCTCTCTGTAGCCCTAGACTGAAAGTTCCTTCATATTGTGTTTGTCTTTGTGGTTTCAGCATCTAGTACCATGTCCATGTAGGTTAAATATTCTATAAATGGTTTGCAGTGAACAAGGTGGTGTAAGACTTGACTCTACAAAGACTTCAAAGTCTGGTGTCACATAAACTAGTCCAGACTTTGACAGAGAAGAAGAACAGCATAGTATCTAAATTGCATGTTCAGTTATGTGTTGTAGGAAAACTTACGTATTTGGTAGCTTTCCTAAATTAGTTCTCATGAAACATCCTACTAACTTTTTTTTTTTCACTAAATTCTGTACTGAAAAATGAATTGTCTTCTGTGAGCTTAAAAGGGAGATCTGTAGTATCTGTAATGGAAATACATTATTCTGTCTTCTTTTGAGACAAGCTACTGAGTTTAGTTCAAGTAGAGAAGTATTTTATCTTAAACCCAGTTTCAATTTTACCTTGTACCCTAATTTTTTTTTTCTTGCTATTTCAGGTAAGACCATGAATTATGGCATTTCTTAAATGAAGCATTCAGGAATGAAGTGAAAATCCTAACATATAGAAAATAAATGATTTTTAAGTTATGTCTATTAATTTGACTATAGATATATATTATATTTACCTCCTTAGTAATGCAAGAAGTCTTTGTGGGAAGCAGAGAAGCAAGCAGCTGCATTTCTTATACTCACCTAAACATTACTGGAGGATAAGCCACGCCAGTCTACAAAGAGGTTTTCATACAAGCAGAGTAAGATGTAAATTGACCAAAAGTGATGCCCATTCTTGGAGCAAGCACTGTTACTCTCCAAGCAACCATGGTTTACATATTGGAATTTTGAAACTTAGCACTTCTACTCCCAAGGGACTTACAAAAGTGAGCATTCGTATGTCCCGTATTAAAAGTACTTTGAACTCTGTTTCAAAGGCTGTTTTTGGCACTCATAATGAAATGATCTCACGTTTAGCTCAATTTAAGCCAAGTTCTCGAATATTAAGAAAAGTATCAGATAGTGGTTGGTTAAAACAGACAGGCATTAAACAAGCCATCAAATCTCTGAAAAAATACAGTGACAAATCAGTAGAAAAGAGTTCTTTTTCAGAAAGTCATAGTCTAGGTAAAGATGAAGATGTAGGTAAACAAAGTCTTTTTCGTTACACAAGTAGTTTAACCACAAGATTTGGAGAGTCATTCTACTTTTTATCAAATCATATTAATTCATACTTCAAACGTGAGGAAAGAATGTCTCAAAAAAAGGAAAATAAACATTTCCAGGACAAACTTGAAGATAAAAAGGTCGAAGAAGAGAAATCGAGCTCTCCAGACCCTGGCATCCTGACTGATAAGCGAGATTCAGAATCTTCTTTATATTCTGTGGACAAATCTGCAAGTGCCAGCGGGACTCCTGAGGCTCTTCCAGTTTCTACTAAACAGAGTATTGCTAACTTTCTTTCTCGTCCCACTGAAGGTGTCCAAGCTTTAGTAGGTGGTTATATTGGTGGACTTGTCCCTAAATTAAAGTATGATTCAAAGAGTCAGCCAGAAGATCAGGAAGAGGCTGTTAAAGCTGAGCAACCTGTCAGCAAAGACAGTAATGGAGAGGAGAAAAAGCAGTTATCTCTTCAGCGAGAAAAGGCAAGTCGTTATCAGTGTTGCTTGACCTTTTAACTTTTGTCAAATGCATAAATTCCATTTCCCTATGGGACCTAAGAAACCTTAATCACGTGTTAATATTACTAGAGAAGTTTCACATTCTAATCATATATATTTTAATATGTCTTTGTAGATTATTGCAAGAGTGAGTATTGATAACAGAACCCGGGCGTTAGTTCAGGCGTTGAGAAGAACAACTGACCCAAAGCTCTGCATTAACAGGGTTGAAGAACTGACTTTTCATCTTCTAGAATTTCCTGAAGGAAAAGGAGTGGCTGTCAAGGTAATTCTAATTTATTTATCTGGTTTTGTCTTGGAATAAAAACACTAACACACTTTCTGTAATGGAGAAGGCAGTACCTTTCATTTTTTAAATTTAACTATTTTTAGGTTTTTATTATATACATGATGTGTCACAGAGTCAGTAATTGGCCCACTTATTCTATTATATATATTATGCTTAAATATTCTCTTATTCTGTGATGATAAATTATGCTGTTCGTACTACTATCTATACTTTGAGATTAAATGTTTTAAAATAGAAAATAAATCTCAGTGTGTTCACTGAATTACAAAATAGTTGCCAAATTTTTCTTAAATGTGTTGATACTATATAGCTATTCTTTTAAGATGGGAGATGTAATTCATAAGTAAAACCATAGGTAATTTTTACTTCTGGATCTTTTTGTATTTGCAAGTCAACATTTTAATGATCTTAATGATAATTGGATTAATAATTATATTAATAAAATGATTAGCTTTTCTTCACCTCAATTTTTTCACACATAAAATAGTGAAGGTAATTTAGACCCATTTAAACAGACTATTTTCGGAGAAATACTATAAAATATGAATGATGTGCTTGAGTCTCTTTCCATTGCACTGCTAATTATTTGTAATATTTAATCATCTGTTTACAAATATATAATGAACGGATATTGTTAACATTTGTTTAGAGATCTGTTAATGCTTGTTTTTAACTTGCCATTCAGAAAAGTCTAAGTTAACTTAGTTCATATTCCAATTTTTGACAACCATTTTGCTGAAGAGTTACCTCAGTCCTTATATAAGGTAGCCTCCTATAGTTTCATATTGTATAATTCATACATTATAAAGCTAAACTTCAGAATTTCATGTTCATAGAACTGGGGATTATCTTTCATGGCTATTTAATCTCTTATCTAAAAGACAGATTTTTCCAAAGGTAGATAGCTTTTAAGTCCATTTACTATTTCAGGGATATACTGAAGCAAAGATCTAAAATAGACTTGCATACTTTAAAGAACTTTAAAAAAATGTTTTATTGAAGTACAGTACAACCTGCAGTTATTGGAATCAAGTTCAGTGGATTTTTCACAAACTAAAGGCATCCATGTAACTGGCACTCAGATGAAGAACAGAATTTACCAGGACTTCACAAGCCTTCCTTATGCCCCCTTCAATCACAGTTTCCCCAAAGTAGTTTAGATTAGTTTAGGGGTTTTTTTGTACCTTATATAAACTATTGTGATTGGGTTTTTCCATTCATCATGTTGGTAGTAATCGTTCTCATTGTTGTAGAACATTCATTCTTGCTGCTTTCATATTCCATGGTGTGAATGTATCACAACTTATTTATTGTACTACTGATGAATTGTTGGGTACTTTTCAGTTTTAGTCTATTATGAATAGTCATGCTATTAGAAACTTTGAGGGCGCTTTTATTTTGCATTACTGATCTCACATCTAAGGACCCTTCAATACCAAGGAGTTGTGTGTTGTAGGAATGTCTATTCCAATCAAGTATGATTGAAAATCTGGATAGTCTGTAAAAAGTTCTTAACCACTTTCCTAAATAAGAAGCATCTCAAAAAGAGTGAACTGGATAAATTAAGACATGTTCACATGCACAGTCTCATGTGAACTTTCCCAATGAAGTTTTAATTATTCAAAAGAACTGAGCTTTTGAAAAATGCTAGAATTGTTTGTTCTAAAACATTTATATGAATTTTACTTTTTTGTATATCATATTTATGGTGGCCAAATGAGAGTGAATTGTCTTTGGTAGATTAGTTACCGTGTGTGTGTGTGTGTGTGTGTGTGTGTGTGTGTGATGTGCTGCATTCATGGCAGCCACATCTAGGAAATTGCCCTTTTTGGTTTCTTCATTGTTGATGAAAGCATTCTCCTTTCATTATTTTTTTAATAAAAAAATAACTTTTTATTATTTAAAAAAGGGGCAGCATAAACTTTGTAAAAAATTTTTAAAAAATAAAAACAAAAATAAGAAAATAAGAATAACATATTTATTTCTACTACCCAAGAGATTATCACTGTAAATTTATTAGTGTCTGTCTGTATTAGATGAAGCCGAGTTAAACTCTAATAAATAGTATCAAAACCTCAGTGACTTAACACAACAGAGGCTTATTTGTCCTTGTGCAAAGTCACCTGGGCATTGGGTGACTCTCCAGGACAGTGACCCTCTGTGAGGTGGCTACTTTGATCTTGTTCTTGTATGTTTCCATACGTGTCCTCCATGATCTCACTCTAGTGGAATAAGAGTATTTCATCAGAAAGTGCCACAGGTTTCTTCTACTCATGAGTTACTTATCCTGCCCAAGTACTGCCTTTGTGTGCCTGAGAGGAAGAGCAAATTGGATATTGGTGAACATTAGTAATGTCTGCTGCAGTATTTCTCTAGAAATTGTTCTGTGCATATATATAATATACCAAAGTAAAGTCATTCTATATGTACTGCTTTATAGTCTGTTTTTTATTTTCTTTTTTTCAGTTTGTAATATACACCTCTTTGTATCAATAAATTGTCATCTCATTGTATACCCAAGTCGAAAATGCTTTTTGTATAACTGATTGGGTCCAAATGATTGTCTTGTAGAGTGGCTCACTTTGTGAATTTTTTTAATTAATTAATTTATTTATTTGTTTTTATAAACATATAATGTATTTTTATCCCCAGGGGTACAGGTCTGTGAATCGCCAGGTTTACACACTTCACAGCACTCACCCTCCCCAATGTCCATAACCCCACCCCCCTCTCCCAACCCACCTCCCTCCAGCAACCCTCTGTTTTGTGAGATTAATAGTCACTTACGGTTTGTCTCCCTCCCGATCCCATCTTGTTTCATTTATTCTTCTTCTACCCCCCAAGCCCCCCATGTTGCATCTCCACTTCCTCATATCAGGGAGATCATGTAATAGTTGTCTTTCTCCAACTGACTTTTTTCACTAAGCATGATACCCTCTAGTTCCATCCACGTCGTCACAAATGGCAAGATTTCATTTCTTTTGATGGCTGCATGGTATTCCACTGTGTATATATACCACATCTTCTTTATCCATTCATCTGTTGATGGACATCTAGGTTCTTTCCATAGTTTGGCTATTGTAGACATTGCTGCTATAAACATTCAGGTGCACATGCCCTTTCGGATCACTACGTTTGTATCTTTAGGGTAAATACCCAGCAGTGCAATTGCTGGGTCATAGGGTAGTTCTATTTTCAACATTTTGAGGAACCTCCATGCTGTTTTCCAGAATGGCTGTACCAGCTTGCATTCTCACCAACAGTGTAGGAGGGTTCCCCTTTCTCCGCATCCTCACCAGCATCTGTCATTTCCTGACTTGATAATTTTAGCCATTCTGACTGGTGTGTAATATCTCATTATGGTTTTGATTTGTATTTCCCTGATGCCGAGTAATGTGGAGCACTTTTTCATGTGTCTGTTGGCCATGTGGATGTCTTCTTTGGAGAAATGTCTGTTCATGTCTTCTGCCCATTTCTTGATTGGATTATTTGTTCTTTGGGTGTTGAGTTTGCTAAGTTCTTTATAGATTTTGGACACTAGCCCTTTATCTGATATGCCATTTGCAAATATCTTCTCCCATTCTGTCAGTTGTCTTTTGGTTTTGTTAACTGTTTCCTTTGCTGTGCAAAAGCTTTTGATCTTGATGAAATCCCAATAGTTCATTTTTGCCCTTGCTTCCCTTGCCTTTGGCGATGTTCCTAGGAAGATGTTGCTGCGGCTGAGGTGGAAGAGGTTGCTGCCTGTGTTCTCCTCAAGGATTACTTTGAATTTTTATGGGGCTTCCTCCTCATTGGTGTTATTTGATGTATTCCTTGTTCCTTTGTATTTGCTGAATACTGGAATATAAACATAAAGACTTGGTTAAGTTAAACTTCTTGTTAGAGCACATTGTATATGTTGCCATGTGTCTCATCTTCCATCATACCAGAACACGTATAACTGGTTGAAGAACCAGTGTTGACCACTGGATTAGGGAGATGACAGTCTGATCTTCTCATTGGACATTTAGGCTAGAATCATAATCCCATCAGCCATTAACCTAATCCAGAACTAGTCATTTCATTAGGGTTGCAAAATGATAAATTTCTAATTCTGCCACTCTTTCTGCATTGTAATTGACATTCGTCTGTAAAAGTAGAGCTTTCCTTTACTAGCTAGAGCTATTTGGTTACTCTCAAAGAGCAGTTTTACAGGATAAGCAAGAAAAATGCTTAGTTTCCTTTTACTTAGTCACCAATTTTCAAAGTAAAGAGATGCTTTAAAGCTGCCCCATTGGTGACAGGAAATTTTTGGCATTTCTTAAAACTATCATTGTGGACTCCCTAGGTTTTCATAAATCGTATTTTGATAAATTTTTTCCTCCCTTCTCTCTTTTTTTGAAAGCTGAATTCATCTCCGCTTTGCTTGGTAGGGGCCCCAAGTTCATTCATAAAACTTTAACTTCTTACAAAAGTATCATGGGCAGAAAAGTATATGTAAGCATACAGCTCCATGAATTTTCAAAAATTGAAAACATCTGTATAACCCTCATCTCTTTATGCCCCCTTCCATTCACTGTCTCCAAAAAGATTGACCATTACCTGATTTTTAGCACCCTAGGTTAGTTGTGCCTTTCTCTGCGTGTTCTATAAATGGAGTGGTACAGCTTGTGCTCTTTTATATCTGTTTTTTTCACTTGACATTATTTGTGAGAACCTTCAAGGTGGATTATGATTATGAAACATTCACATTGTGATGGATTCTGTGATATGAATATAGGACCATGTATCCATTTTACTGCTGATGGACATTGGAATAGTTTCCAGTCTGGGAGTATTCAGGAATAGTGCTTCTGGGATATATCTTTTGGGAAACACAGGTCTTTATTTCTTTGGGAGTGTATATCCAAGAATAGTGGTCTTGGTTATGAAGTATGCCTATTTTCATCTCTAATAGATTCTGCCAAATAGTTTTGCAAAGTGTTTATACCAACTTATACTTCCGCCAAAATTGTATTGATCTTCTGGTGGTTCTACTTCTCCAACACTTTATTGTCTTTATTTTAGCCATTGTGTTGGATGTTTAGTGATACTGGATTGTGGCTTTAGTTTGCATTTCTCTGGTAACTGTGAAGGTTAGCATCTTTTCCAATGCTTATTGGCCATTTGTGTGCTTACCTTGTGTGAAGTGCCTTTTGCACGTCTTACTCATTTTTCCTTTGGGTTGATCAACTTTTTCTTACTGACTTGAAGAATTTCTTTAAGTTTTTTTATATATGGCATATATTACATATAATATTATATATAATAGTAATATACAATAACTATGTATTTTTTGTAAATGTATTTTCCCACTCTTGGAGTTACCTTTTAACTCTGCTGGCCCTCTGTCTGAGCCAGTCCCAGTTTTTCAGTCTTCTGTTTCTTCCCCAAATAAGCAAAAGCCTCAAGGGAAGACAAGCTATAGTTTATGAGATCACTTATTTTTTAAAAGAATTCATCTTTTATTTATTTATTGGAGAAAGAGAGTTACGCATGCGCATGTGCCCACCAGCAGGTGGGAGAAGCAGACTCCCTACTGAGAAGGGGGCCTGAGATGGGGCTTGATCCCAGGACCTTGGGGTCTTGACCTGTGCCAAAGGCAGACACTTAACTAACTGAGCCACCCAGGCGTCCTGAGCTCACTTCTTAGCACTTCTCTCTCCAGATTCTTACCCCTCCTGTTCTCATCGCTTCAGGAGCCCTCTGATGCTTTTGAACAGATGGAACTTCTTTTGTCTTTTATTAACGTTTTCTAGTTCTTGGAAAGAGACTGTTCTAACCAGAAATGGAAATTTATATTCCCATGCCCACCGTTGTTCAGACTCTTCTTGTGGGACGTTGAAGCTCAACATTAGCCAGGGCAAAAAAGCAACTGAAAAAGAATTTAGAACAATATTACTTCACATTGATTTATCATAAAGAAACAAAATGAGTGATACATTTGGATTATTTTTTTAATTTATTGAAGGAAGATTACATAGCACAAGTTTAGTTGCTAGTCTCAGATTCCCTTAAGCCTGGGCTTCTGACCGTATAAGGTGCTTTTGTGCACAGAACCTAGAGAATCTCTGATAAACTCAGTGTAGAACCCTAGAAGTTAAGCTCTTGCCTCTGGTCACCAATATGAAATTAAACATATAGAATCTCAGAGTCCTAGTTTTGTTTAAACAAATTACTTAAATGTAATGAATTTGGGTTATTTATTGTAATGGTCAGCTTTTGCCTTCTGCCTTAGTTATAGGTATTGACATTTGTTTATATTTCACTATGAGCTACCCTTATATCCTATATTCACAAGATGGTTTATTTTTTTTTTTAATAACAAGTTCAATTTCCAGTAATTACTATGAAGAAGTTTATCTCTAGGATTTGGAGAAAATCGTTTATACAATTTATAATGTTAATCTTTTGTTGTAACAATTAATACTTTGTAAATTTCTGTTAAGCAAATTATATATTTTCTAATTATTAAGCATTGTATCTTTTAAAGAAAATATTTGTACTGAGGTTAATTCTTAATCTAGATATTAGAAGAAATATATTTTAAATGCTAATTGACATTTATATGTTAAAAAGTAATGTCATTTAAGATTATTAAGAAAGTAATAAACCCTGGCACTGTGATTATATGTGGTCTACATATGTTGGTTAAAAATCATACAGTTTCACTCTTCATTTGACAAAAGCAATAAAATACTTTTTTCTCCATACAGGAAAAAATTATTCCGTATTTATTAAGATTGAGACAAATTAAGGATGAAACTCTTCAGGCTGCAGTTAGAGAAATTTTGGCCTTAATTGGCTATGTGGATCCCGTGAAAGGAAGAGGAATCCGAATTCTTACAATTGATGGTGGAGGAACAAGGTAAAGCTAGAAAAATGATTTTTTAAATCCTATAGATCCAGTTCAGCCAGAATTTTTTTTTAACTGATTCTGTGTAAGTATAGTAGCTATATCATTGTAAAACCAAATGTTTAAAATAAAACATGAAATAGTTTTTCTTAATTTATTACTTGATCCATTTGAGAGCTTCTTTGTTTTGTTTTTTTTTTTTTTAATTTCATTTAGAGTGAGCATGAGTGGGGGGAGGGGCAGAGGGAAAGGGAGGGAAAGAATCTCAAGCAGGAGCCATGCTCAGCGTGGAGCCAGATATGGGGGCTCTTTCCCAGGACCCTGAGATCATGACCTGAGACAAAATACAGTCAGCTGCTTAACCAGCTGAGCCACTCAGGTGCCCTAAGGGCTTCTTCAGCATATACCTGAATTTGCTTTTATTTTAATTTGACCTAGTATTTATTTCAGTTTGGTCTCTTCAGACCTTCTTGTTAGTTTAGGACAGTATATCAACCATGACTTAAAAAATCTTGGCAATGTTTTGTAACATTAGCTTTCTTTAATTATATTTATCTTACTGGTGTTTATCAGTCAGCTAGTCACTTAATAAAGAGATTGCTATAAAAGGAGTCTGTATCAGTAACTTTCTGAGTCCCCACGTTCTCAGCTGCAGATGCTGGTTCTGGTGCCACACTAGAAATATTTAGTGCATTCTTAGCTCAGAAGGAGGTAGTTTCGCCGTCGGACTTCGTTCTTGCTGTTGGCAGTTCATCCGTGCTGCTTCTGATTAGTTTGTTGAGTTCCTCTTACTGCTTGTTGGTTAGATCCTTTGGTGTTAGCCTCCCCGCCCCCAACACCAGATGTTCTAGCTTGGATTCAGGTTTCCTGCCATCTCTGCTCTCATCTCTGAAATTGATAGTACATGCCCTGCCTGTTGTTCTTTGATTACTTTATCTCTCTGATTACATTCTCTGATACACCTGCTTTGCCAATTACTATCTTGTATGTCCAAGTACTACGCTTATTGTTTTGTTAAATTCTGAGCTCCTCTATGTCAGCCAGATTCTTTTCATTTTGACACCAATATCAGTAACGGTGTGAGTGATGAGGGAAAAAGCTATTTAACCATCTAGGCGGAGGACAATAAAATAATACCTTCAGATGGTAGCCGTGGGAAGCAGGAGGGAGGAAAAATATGCAAGAAAACTTTGAAGAAAAGGGGAATTGGATATAGAAGGAGATCGAGAGCACTCCTGAATGGAGACACCCATGGATGCCTGGGGCAGAACTGCAGGGAAATGGGAGGAGGTGATTGGTATTGAGAAAGACAGTTCTGTTTTTGAACATGCTGAATAGAAGGCTTCACATAGCAGTATAGAAGTGCTAATTCGGCAAATGAAGATTGAGTTGATTGAGAAAAGAAAAGTTTCAGAATAATTTTTGGATGTTTCTTATGGAAGTGAAATAACTGAAGAAGGTGAACATCATTCATACGATAGATGAAGTGGTAATGAATTAGAATCATTCTAGTTTATAAAATTGGTTAAAAGTGATGGGAAGTAAGGAAAGTAGGAGTTCAGTGAGTAAGGAATTTCACTGAGGAGCAGGAAGAAGCCAGTCCTCTCTGCCATTAAGATCAGGACAGATGGAAAAGTTGGTATCATTCATTGAGTCACCTGTTCTTAACACTGTTCTTAACACTGATTTGGATCCAGGAATCTGTAAGCAAAACAGACAAAATCTAAGTCTTCATGGTACTAGTATTCCAGAGGAAGAAAGAACAAATAGAAAAGCAAAAATGTATTCTTGAATAGTAAGGGGTGCTATGAAGAAAAAAAGCAAAGTGGCAAAGAGTAAGTGCTATTTTAGAGAATAATCATGATTATTTTAGAGCATGATTATGATTATGACTTTTTTTTCATTTTAAAAAAATACTGAGATACCGACTTGGTATATTAGTTTCAGATATACAACACAATGATTTGATGCCTGTTTATTTTGTAGAATGATCACAATAAGTCTAGTTAACATCCATCACCACACAGAGTTAATAACTTTTTTTCTGGAGTTGAGAGCATTTGAGATTAACTCTTCTAGTAACTTTCAAGTATGCAGTACAGTATTATTAACTATGTTAGCACGTTGTACTTTATATCCCCTGGATGCATTTATTGTATTATTTATTGTGTAACTGGATGTTTATACCTTCTGATCTCCTCACCCATTTTGTCAACCCCACCCACCCACCCCTTTTGGCAACCACCTGTGACTGTGACTTCTTTTTGAGTAGAATTCTGAAGGAACAGTCAGGAACATTCAGCTATCTATTTAGAGTGATAAATATGTTGAAAAGAGCTTTGGGACCAGTAAATATTTGATTTTAGAGAATAGGAGTTTTGTTAGTCATCCAGGGAGGAAATTGGAGTGAAGACATTTGGGAAGATATAAAGGTGAGTTAGGATGAAGGGAGGTGTAGATTAGCAGTTCTCCATTGGAGGCGATTTTGCTATCTAGAGGACATAGTTCAGTGTCTGGAGGCATTCTTGGTTGTTGGAGCTGGGTGACTGCCACTTTGTGTTTAGTGAGAAGAGGGCAATTAATGCTGAAACCCTACAATGCACAGGATAGCCCTAGAGCAAAGAGTTTTCCAGCCCGAAATGTCCCTCTTGCTAAGCTGAGAAACCTTGCTTGAGGGGAACTTGAGAATGCAGCCAGGATGGTAAGTTTGTGCTGAGAGGAATAAGATACAAGGGCTTGGGAGAAAAAGAACCCATAACTTTTATTGCCTTTTTTTTTTAATTTTTTTTATTTTAAAAGATTTTATTTATTTATTTGACAGACAGAGATCACAAGTAGGCAGAGAGGCGGGCAAAGAGAAAGGGGGAAGCAGGCTCCTTTCTGAGCAGAGAGCCCGATGCGGGGCTCGATCCCAGGACCCTGAGATCATGACCTGAGCCAAAGGCAGAGGCCTAACCCACTGAGCCACCCAGGTGCCCCACTTCTATTGCTTTTGTGTATGAATGCCCCGTAAAGTGTTAGGCTGAGAGAATCAATCTGGCAAGTGTATTTATTTCTAAATATGACATGAATTGATTTGTAAATACAGCATTTTAAAATAGTTTTCTACCTGATTATACAAGTAAAACTTGGAGGAGAAAAAAAAGAAATATAAAGAAAAGCAACCAAAAAATATAGCTCACAATTACCAGATTTTTAGTATTTTGACTTATTTCTTCAGATTTTTTTTTCTTGCATGAGTATGTATGTGCATTTTTTATTTCTTTCTTATAAGATAATGGAGGTCACATTGTTAAGTATATTTATCTGGCATTATCTCTAATTCTTCATGTCTCACTTTGATTTCATAGTGTATCTCTTTGATAAGCCATCTCCTCATCTTTTACTACCTCTCTTCAAAGCCACATTACTTCTTAAAATTAAAAAAAAAAATCAGCGTTTTTGGTTTCCTACTTTAATATTAGAGTATTTTCTCGTGGTTTCCTTTTAGCAGTATCAAAGCACACTTTGACACTCTAGGTTGTATTTGGTGATGCCTAACTATAGCCAGGACCCTTCTGCCCCACATCTTGTATTGGGTTTAGACCATTTCATTGTTTCTGTATATTCTCCCAGCATTAAGAATTGTCCACACATTACACACATCCTGAATTGGCATATACCTCCTGGCCTCTTTTCATTTTCCACATTCATCATTAAGCTCTTTTCTGCCTTTGGCTAGGATCCAAAAGTAAACAAAGTCAGCTGCATAAAGTAATACTAATGGCAGGGCATTCATTGTCTTGAAGTTGTTGAAAGTTTTAAAAGATGAATAATTAGGGGGCCTGGGTGGCTCAGTGGGTTAAGCCTCTGCCTTCGGCTCGGGTCATGATCCCAGGGTCCTGGGATCGAGCCCCACATCGGGCTCTCTGCTCAGCAGGGAGCCTGCTTCCTCCTCTCTCTCTCTGCCTGCCTCTCTGCATGCTTGTGATCTCTATCTGTCAAATAAATAAATAAAATCTTTAAAAAAAAAAAGATGAATAATTAAAAGCTTGAAAGTATGACTAGTGAAATGCAGAAAACAAAAATATGTAGAAGCATAGGCACCAACTTATACTGCAGAGAGAAGAAACTAATATACAGTGTTCCAGAACTGGTGAGTGCAGGTTTTAAGTATTTTCCAGTCTGGGGTGTTTAAAAGAACATCTTACGTTCTCATCTTTACAGTCATGTTCAGAGAGATACTAGTATAAATTAAAATTTGCTGTTGTGACACAGGTTTTATTCCATTATTTAGCTACTGGAGTTTTGAAAGTGCTCTTAAAAACAGGCCATTTTTACTGACATTAATTTATATTATCAGTTTCCCTGTTAGCATATAAGCTAGAAAAGCAACTTGTGGGCTTGTTTTATTCAAGACTTAATTTCCTTGAAACGGGAATTTTCATTTTTCTTTTTTTTTCTGTAGGGGTGTGGTTGCCCTTCAGACACTGCGAAAATTGGTTGAACTTACTCAGAAGCCAGTTCATCAGCTCTTTGATTACATCTGTGGTGTGAGCACGGGTAATTATTGTTAAATAGAAGCCCTGTGTCCCTGCAGTGTGCATTTAAAATGATGGTCATTCTCAGAAGTGATGGGTATTTTATGTTTTGTTGAAGAATAATCCTTTGATTGGCCTAATGAACTTTATAAAATGTTTGTGGTAATAAGTTACCATTCAGAGGTGGTGTTTGTTTGTTGTTCTGTTTTGTTTTTGCAAGAGAGCGCGGGTCCTGTGCAAGTAGGGGTGAGGGACAGAGGGACAATCTTAAGCAGGCTTCCTGCTCAGCGTGGAGCCTGAGGCAGGGCTTCACCCTTTTGACCCTTAGTTCAGGACCTGAGCCTTGCCAGGAATTGGACGTTTAATATTCTGAGCCACCCAGGTGCCCAGGAAATTGTTCTTATATTATATTTCTTACTTGATTGTTTAAAGCCAGAATTTAAATCGGTAAATGTGAGAATCTATGTGTTTAACATAATTTTTTTGAAGATTTTATTTATTTATTTGACAGAGAACACAAGCAGGGGGAGTGGGAGAAGGAGAAGCAGGCTTCCCATTGAGCAGAGAGCCCACTGTGGAACTCGATCCCAGGATGATAGGATCATGACCCAAGCCAAAGGCAGACACTTAATAACTGTACCACCCAGGCACCCCATCTGCTTATCTTTATAGTAGTTCTATTTAAAAGGCAGTTAGTTTTTTGGCAAGTTATTTCTTGTGTTAATTAGGGATTTTCTGCAAATTGAAAAAAGTAATTTCTATTATAAATTCGTAATGCCGTTCAATTTATTTTAAAACCTAAGCTGTTTTCTTTTACTAGAATAAGACTGAGTATAATAAAATACATACAATATTTAAAACACATTACGATAATGAGTTCCTGTTTTTCCTTTGTGGGCAATCTCAGAGTAAGCCCTAATGCTGTATAGATCTTTGCCCCCCTCCCCCCATCAGCAAAGCTTTCTCCCCTACATTTCTCCTTAGTTCAGGGTTAGACCAGTTAGGTACGCTAGGTGGCAGTGTGTCCTACCAAGTGTAGCCAGGACATGAAATCAGCTATTTAAAAGGCTATCCCAGAGACCTAATTTCTTTAATTATTTTAGTTCCCCGGACCAACTCAAAGGAGTAGTTATTTTAGTGAATTGGTAAGTTGTCAAATATACTGTATTCTGTGACTAAAACTAAGGAATTTATTAATGTTAGAAATAACGTCATTGACCATGGTATCTAAACTATGTATTACTTAGTTTGATGTAAAAAAAAAATCCTATATCTTAAAAATTAATCCTGATAATCATTGGTTAACATTTATTTAGTCCTTATTGAGGCCAGTTAAAGCCCTTTACATGTGTTCCCTATATAAGAACATTATAAATTTTAGTTATTATCTTTATTTTAGAGATGAAAAAATTGGGCTCTTAGAGGTTACATAGTTGGTCCCCAGGTGGTACAGATCAGAGCTAGAATTTTAACCAGGTCTGTGACGTGGAAAGTCTTATAAGTATTGTAATGTCGACACTGGTAAAAACCAAACATTCCTTCTTTCAGGTGCTATATTAGCATTCATGTTGGGATTGTTTCATATGCCTTTGGATGAATGTGAGGAACTTTACCGAAAATTAGGATCTGATGTGTTTTCACAAAATGTCATTGTTGGAACAGTCAAAATGAGCTGGAGCCATGCATTTTATGACAGTCAAACATGGGAAAATATTCTTAAGTAAGTTACTAGTTTTTTTTTTTTTAATGTTTGATTCTATAAATAATATATGCATATTATTTGAAAAATGACAAAAAATTAGAAATAATATTAAATTATTGATCCCAGTAATTAGAGTTGATCATTGTTAATATTTTGGTGTATAATTCCAGTCATTTTTTTTTTAGTTCATGTGTGAGATTTGCATGTAGAAATTGCAATTGCCTTTTTAAAAAATTGAGACCGTATTATACATAGACACACACCTGTTGTTTTTACTTAATGTATTAGTCTCTTTCAAGTCATTAACAGATATTCTTCTAAAACATTAATGATTTTTAAACATTGTTTCCAGAATACTGTAAATACACTTTCCAAAAATACGTATTGAAGCCTTTAAAATTACCCACAGTCTTATTCAGAGCTGTGGACTTTGCAATCGATGTATGTATATTCTTCTAGTCTTTTTCTAGACTGTATGCATTTTCATACATACCTTTTTTAAAGATTTAGAAAGTATTTTACATTGATATTTATGAAATACAATAAAGGGTAGGTCATCGCCTAATTTGTACATACTACTGGTACGTAAAATTCACTAATACTCTATTCGAGAATCATGAATATTGTTTGACAGAAAGTCACTAGAAACATGGTTTTTCTTATTGAGGCAAGTTGGTAAAAAAAAAACATAGTCCTTATATCCAGTACAGGGGAAAATACACATTTTTTTTAAGATTTTATTTATCTGACAGATATCACAAGTAGGCAGAGAAGCAGACAGAGAGAGAGAGAGGAGGAAGCAGGCTCCCCGCTGAGCAGAGAGCCGGATGTGGGACTTGATCCCAGGACCCTGAGATCATGACCTGAGCCGAAGGCAGAGGCTTAACCCACTGAGCCACCCAGGCACCCAAAGACACATACTTTTAAGTCAGGAAAAAAATCTGCTCTGGAACAAAACTCCCTTATGATGGAATTGTGGAAATTGCTGCCCAAGGACAAGATCTGTAATGTTGCAGTTAATTCAGAGCCCAGCGCCAATGATTTAAAAAGCATTTTGTAGGAGTGACAATTGGCTCTGTGTTGCTAGAGCAAGTTTAAAGTCTAAATGTCCTGATGTGGTTTTTAGATTACTCTGTTACTAGTCTACATACTTCTGTAGTTTTATCTGAACACAGCCCCTTTATCCCTCAGGAGGACCCTGAAAACAGCGGTTTATTCTGCCTCAGTGCCTTTCTTTACTCCCCAGACAGGGTTGAATGTGTTGCCTTGTCATCTTTTGGTGTCCTTCTCAAGCTGCACCTCAACTCTCTATTGCTTTATGTGCATTAATTATACTATCAGGCACCTGAGGAGATTTTTATATTTCTTTTTTGTCATTCATAGTACTTTGAACAAAACCCTGAGCAAACAGTATTTGAATATTGTATGTTCCCCAGTGTTAGGAGATACAGTCATTTTGATGTACTTTAATTTTCCTTCTTTAATAAAGGGATAGAATGGGATCCTCATTAATGATTGAAACAGCAAGAAATCCTACGTGTCCTAAGGTAAGTTTGGAGTCTTAAATATAATCCCAACTTGGAATTGAAGGTCAGGTGAAAGCACTTATTCTAAGAGATACATTTCTTAGAAACCTCTTTTAATAGATTTTATTGATTCCTTACTTTTTGGGCTACTTTATGAAGATGTAAGATGTGGTCATTTGACCTCTTCCTATATCCAGTAAAAGTGTAACTAAAGTTTAAGAACATGAAAGACTAGGACTAAAACCAAGGAAGAATTATTTTATCATAAGGTTAATCAAATCCAGTGACACAAGAAAAATTACAGCTTTTCTTCCCCCAGACTTTTTTAAAAGAAATTTTATGTGCCTGTGAATATATTAGATTAACGTATAAAAGGAATCCCAATTTTAAAAATGTTAATGCCACTAGAATTTTTCTTATATGGCTTCTCTTTTTATCTATTTTGTTTGAAACCCAGTAATCAGAGTATTGCTTGAGTTCTGTGTTCCTTAATAATACTTGTTACTTGATTAAGGAATAACATTTACAGACTTCAGAATCCCCTGTAGCTTGTATTTATTCTTGGATGATAAGCTGTAACGTTGAAAGATCAAATACAGCTCCTTTTATTTCTCTTTCACTCTTGCTTGTTCAAATTTCATTCATTCTTTAGATATTAATTCTGAGCCCCATGTGTCAACACTGTGCCAGGCACTTTGGAGACCTTCGTAAATGCAGACATGGAGTTTAGAGTCCAGTAGGGCAAAGTAGGCATCTGTCAGGTAATCACACAAACGAGATACAGTTTTGCTGAAATAAATGCTATGGAGTACAAAAACAGTTCTCTGAAAGCATATATTTACAGGGACAGGAGGGAAGGCTATTCTGAGGAAAGGAGGTTTGAGATCTCAGTGTGCAGGCCAAAGAGTAGGAGCAGTACTGGCAAAGGGAAGGACCTGTGCGGGAGGAGGCAGGGAGAGGCACAGGAACTGAGTGCCCCAGGAGACCAGAGCCCAGCATTCAAGGGCGGCATGCAAAATGGGACTGAAGTGGCAGGTGAATCAGACCAGCAGGGCCTTGGAGGCCATGCTAATGAGATGCAGACTTCGGAGAGGATCCCAGGATGTACTCTGTGGTGCTTGTTTGTTCCCCTGTATCTTCAGAGCTGTTTGTTTTTCAGTCGTGGGAGTGGCCAACTTTAAATAAAAGACTAGATAAATTAGGGGTAAGGGAACTTTAGCCCCCTCAAAGAGTAATTCACTCGTTATGAATGGGTTTATCATGTTTTCCACATGATTCTTAATTCTGCCTGTCTATAGTCCAGTTAATAGAGAGACCCCTGGATTTTGGTGTTTGACCAGCTCTTAACCATGGTGGCCTGTTGACACTCTGACCACTCACAGGGTCTGGGGATATCTCCTTTGGTTTATTAAACAGCAGAGCTGACAAGCCCCTGGCAGGGCTCAACACAGAACCCCAGTAACTTTGGCCTCCTCAGCTTCTTTAAGTTTATGTTGCAGGTCATTAACCATTACAGCACATTTTACATTAATTCAGCTGACATCGATAAAGTCTGAGACCCAAGGTGGTCAATATTAGTTATTTTAATAAAAAATTACCCAGCTGCCAGTTATTAACTATGATAAGAAAGCCTCGGAGTTTGTTTGTTGTTAGATTCAGTTACTAAAGGCATAATGTTTTCAAAGAGAACAGAAGCAAAGACTCATTTGTAAATGATACTAGGAAAATAGTATATTTATTCTTCTCTGAGTAGTTTGTATTCATTGCTACTGCTCATGCATCGATTATTACATAAAGATTTGCAAATGTATGTCTTCCTAATGTCTTTTTAAATGGCTACTCAAATCATGTAGTCAATAATGTCTTCTATTATTGTTGTCTTACCGTCTGTTTCTCAAAATTGTCTCAGTCCTTATATTTATTGTTCTGTAAAGAAATACCTAGTTAAATCTCATTCCCTTTACTTAACATCCTGTTTATGTTACATTTATCTTGATGGGTAGCTGTAGATTGTTCGCTCACACTACTAGACAATATTTAGTTTTTTATAGATCCCAAATACTGCTGTTGACAATGGGCATCGTTCACTTTTTACTTTACTAGGTAGCTGCAGTAAGTACCATAGTAAACAGAGGGATAACGCCAAAAGCTTTTGTGTTCAGAAACTATGGTCATTTTCCTGGAATCAACTCACACTACTTGGGAGGCTGTCAGTATAAAATGTGGCAGGCCATTAGAGCCTCATCTGCTGCTCCCGGCTACTTTGCAGAGTATGCATTGGGAAATGATCTTCACCAGGTAAGTTGACTGTGACCTACCTTTTGAAAGTTTGTGATTAAAGAATCAGCAATCATTAAATGTCACAAAGGGATCAACCGAGACTTTCTTCTTGTTTACATGTGGCAAAATATGTCCCATACAAAATGTTTTTATTTGTCGTTTTTCTTAAATTAACAAGCCTTCAGTAAAGATTATTTTTGTATTTTATATAATGTGATTCATAACTATGATTTTATTAATGGAAAACATAGTATGTAGGATTGGTTGTCCAAATGCAATAAAAATTAAAACACGGCCCTTGAAAACACAGAATGCAATCTGTTTGACAGTTGGGGTAGACATATTTTGAAGGAGATGATATAAGAGAATAATCACAGTAAACACTCATTAAATTAGCTCTATACCGGACACTTATACAGTCCTTTGTATGCATTGTCTCATTTAATCATCACTGCTTACAAATCGGATAGAGTTATTCCCACTTTTACAGATGAGGTATTGGAGTCTTGAGAAAGGTTAAATAACTAGAATAGGATCATGGCTGTTAAGGGTCAGGCTTGGGATGCTACCTGTAATTATACTGCTTCTAAGTTTATGGCTAAATAATACATAAAGTTGAATATTATTTCTAGCAGTTTATTCCTTTTTTGTTATGTACACTTATTTATCATAAAGTTTTCGTCGGTCAAGTTTTTCCATTATGAAATGTTAACTCATAACTTTACAGTAAATGATAAAAAAGTCATTGAAGCTTTTGACCTGATACTTCCAGAGTGTACATTTTTATAGATGCTTAATTTTTATAATGCTGTCCCACTTAAAATCAGTCTCATTCACTATAGCTATTAACCTTAACTGTCCTCTCTAGTCAGTGAGGTATTTGTGCTCTGTTTGGTATTTAAATATATGTTGAGAAGGAAACTATTTTGGCAAGGATTTTCAGATGTCATTCAAAAGCTCATACATAGATCTTCTATATGAACTACATATCAGTTATATACCTCACATGTGTCAGTATTGTAATAGCTAAAACACTTCTATCACTTTTATTTTCTCCTATATTTTTTCTTGTATTTTAGACTTATTTTTAAATATTATGGGCAGCTATCCCATTTTTTCTGTATTTCTAGAAGTAATATCATAATCTTTGTAGTCATGAGATTAACCTAGGTTTCGTTTTGTCTTCGGAGTCAATTCAGACCATTTCTTACTTTGTCAGATCAGTCATTGTTCAATTATGTAAGGCACTTTCTCTTCTTTCTTCCACCTACTCAAGGCAGAAAGTGCTAGCTGTAGAGTTTTTCTGACATAGATCTCAAGACTTACTGGTCAAATTAAAATTTTTATTTTAAAATGTACCTTCCTGTTTTTAACAAAAATTTCTGTATATTCTTATTCTTACCAGGTTGTAAATGGAGAAATAATTTAGACAGTGTATTCAAAATAGTAGTTAAAGATTTATAACATATCTTTAAAGTGGTTGTTGTGCTACAGAATTGCAGTTACGCCAAGTATTAATGAAAGTCTCAAATGATAAGTTACTGTATTTTAAGACCATATGCTCCCAGACTTCAAAAGAAGTTACTTCATTTGCTTTCTCTTCTTTCTCTAAGTAGAAATAGTTCTAAAGTTTAATTCAGTACATAATAACAAACCAAAGTAATTCTGTGGTTCTTTTTCCGTTTCATTTAGACTAGTGATACTTCTTTTCATGCTTAGCCATTTTTATATTGATGACCATAATCTCTGAGTTTAGGTTTGAGCTACAGATTAAAATAATTTACTATATAAAGTTTATGTAAAAGAATATACTTTTATGTAAATCAGGGACTTCAGGAAGATTTGTACATCTAATTAATACTCACATGAAATCTAGATTCTAAGCAAATCTTATTTTTAAGAATATTTTTCTTACTGCATGTTCTCACAAACATGAGGAAGAAATAGGATATTTTTCTACTCACAAGACACTGTGAAAGATTGATTAGGATATTCTAACATGTGAATGATCTTGATTGCTTAAACAAAAAAATACTCGAGTGAAATTCCTTTTCAACCCTTCAGAAATTGTTAAGAAGTTTAAAACTAAAATATGGTACTTACTTATTATAATCCTCTTAAGCTCTTTGAATAATTATATTGAGTTATTTTGAGACTGATTTTTAAAATCTCTTCATAACTGTCATGTCTGACATATGTTTTAACGTGAGTTACTTCACATTCTCTTGGAACCATGTAGAGCATAAATTTAGACTAATACTCTGAGCAGTTACTGAAAGCAGTGCCATAATTAAGAGGTGTGAGAAGATAGACATGTAGATCTCATTTGCCTTTGCCTATAAAGAGAAGAACGTTATTACAGTATTCACCAGGTTTATTACATGTCCTAGAAAATTGTAAAGTGAGAAGAATTCTTTTCGAGTAGCTTTCCAGGTATTACTTCTTCCCCCCTGCCCAAATAGCATCATGTTTATCTTGAAATAGTATGTTTTACACAAAATTAATCCTTCTTTCTCTTTTTAATAGTTTCATTGATATATAATTGATAAACCAAAAACTGGGCATATTTGATGTATGTTTGATGAGTTTGGACATATGCATGTCCCTTCTCTCTGATATTTTTCCATCTCCACCTCCAAAAGTAAATCATTCATTCTCTGCCTTTGGAAAAAGAGCCTGATAAATTAATTTGCACTAAAGGTTTTGATGACAGATTCTCATCTATTATTTTTTCTAGGCCTTATTTACATTTTGAAAGGTTATATCCAGAACTCAGAAAACATTAACCTAAGAGGAATTATATTTCATATAAACGTTCCAGATAAATAGTGTTTTCAGTAGAAAGAACCTGACTAGCACCTGGCAAATGATGCCTTTGCCAGGCCACAACTATTAATTTTTAGTATAGCTGGTCAAAAATGTAGTGACTGCTTGCTCAGTACGAGGCAGTGTTAACTGGGAGGAATATAAAGGTTTTAATAAGTGCCAGCTTATTTTTTGTGTTTCCTGGGTCCTACCCTCAAATACCTAAAACTAGAAGAATATAAGCAGAGTTATATAGTAAGATGATAAATTCAGTAATATGGAGGCTCCTTAAGGAGTTAAAAATAAAACTACTCTTTGACCCAGCAGTTGCACTACTAGGTATTTATCTAAAGGATACAAACAGTGATCCAAAGGGGCACATTTCATCCCAGTATTCGTACCATCAGTGTCCACAGTAGCCAAAATATAGAAAGAGCCCAGAAGTCCTTCAACAGGTGAATGGATAAAGAAAATGTGGTGTGTTTATGTGTGTGTGTGCGTGCAGCGCATGCACACGCACACACACACACACGATGGAATATTACTCAGCCATCAAAATGAATGACATCTCTTTTTTTTTAAGATTTCATTTCTTTATTTGAGAGAGAGAGATCACAACTGGGCAGAGAGGCAGGCAGAGAGAGAGGGGAAGCAGGCTCCCCACTGAGCAGAGAGCCTGATGTGGGGCTGGATCCCAGGACCCTGGGATCATGACCTGAGCTGAAGGTAGAGGCCTAACCCATTGAGCCACCCAGGCACCCCAGAAAGAATGACATCTTGCCATTTGCAACAACATGGCTAGAATTAGAGGGTATTATGCTAAGTGAAACAAATCGGAGAAAGACAAAGATCGTATGATTTCACTCGATATGGAATTTAAGAAACAAAACAGATGAACATAGGGGGAGGGAAGGAAAAATAAAATAAGAAGAGAGACAAAACATAAGAGATTCCTACTATAGAGAACAAACTGAGGGTTGATTAAGGGGAGGTGGGCAGAGAATGGGCTAACTGGGTGATGGGTATTAAGGAGGGCATTGGTGATGGGTGCTGAGTGTTATATGAACTGATGAATCACTTAATTGTACTCCTGAACTTAATACTATACTATATGTGAACTAACTTGAATTTAAATAAAATCTTGAAAAAATAAATTCAGTAATGAAAATATGCATAGGATTAAGAAGTAGTACAGAATATGTGGCTTACTCTGTCAGGATTGGCTTTACAAAGACATTTCACACCAGTTGAGATCTAAAGAATGAATAGTTTGGTAGGATGGAAATGGGATTAGGGTGATAAAAACGTTTTGGAAATAAAGGCTATGGTTGTAAAACATTCTGAATGTAATTAATGCCACTGAATTGTGACCTTAAAAATGCTTAAAAGGACCAATTTTATGTTTTGTACATTTTACCATTATAAAAAAAAAAGAATTTTTAAAAAAAGTCATAACTGGGATGAGAGCATTAAGGAGAAGTTCACGCTGTGCAAGGGTTCTTTTCTCTGGTAGGTACTCTGTGATTTGAAATGATGAAATAAACATTAAAAGCAACCAAAATTATCCAAATTTTAGGCTATTAAGTACATGTGTAATGTACTGCTATTAAAACACAATTCTGTGTATACCTCTGAGAGGTAAATAGCAAATTATTCAATCAGTTCATTTTTTACGTTTGTTTTACCACGGTATCTAGCAGTGGGCCTGGCAAAACGGAATACACACTAAGTAGATAGCGAATATGAACACCGTGTGAAGGGAACACCACGGCCATACCATTACACTGATGACTTCCTGATAGGAGAGGCCTGGACAGGAGTGGACTAAGTGGAAGGGAGCACCAAAAATCTTAGCTTCCATACTTGATGGAAAGCAGTAAAGTTTAAGGAACAGGAATTTACTGCCATGGCTATTAAAACCATTGGAAACCCGGCAGCTTTTTAACTTGGGAGTGATTTTACTATTCTCAATTCTTGGTAAACTTCTTTTGCCTTATCTTATTTTTTCTTCCCTGTTTGACTCTGCTGATAGTTCTTGGTAGGCTTTTCTATAAAATAGTGTAGCAGTGTTCCATCTAAAATAGCAGGATGTCTGAACGTTATTATATAGAGTACAAGTATGGAATTTAAGATACAAGTAGTTTTGGGTGCGTGGCTGGCTCAGTTAGGGGAACATGGGACTCTGGGTTCAAGCCCTGCATTGGATGCAGAGATTACTTAAAAGTAAAATGTTAAAAAAGATTTTTTTAAGATGAAAGCTTTAAAAGTGGCAACTCTCTTGCTGAATTAGAAATTAAATGATACCTCTATTATGTGATGGGTATCATTCTAATGTCCTGTTAATTGAAAACAAAAGATAAAGTTGGAAGGATTAAATTAAAATTAAATTAGAAGCCTTGAGAAAATAATTATTACTACCTACATTGAATCCTAGTAGGGTTTTACATAGTTGAACAGTACAAATAGCCCATGTAAGACTTTAAACAGATACATAAAGATAACAGAATTTAAAAATCGTTCCTTTCAACTGGTGAATGATAAACTGATACATCCACATAATTAAATATTACTCAGCAATAAAAAGGAGTGAATTACTGGGCTGTCCAATGACCTGGATGGATCTCAGAAGCATTATTCTAGGTGAAAGAAACCAAATTCAGAAGACTACATACTGTATGATTCCATGCATCTTGGTAACAAGAGTTAATGTGTAACCTTGGGGAGTAGATAGAAGAATGGTTTTTGAAGATGACTTGTCGGTGGCAAGGAAGCTCAGAGATTTGAATGGCATTATTGAATTGAACAGAAGGACAGTGGAATTTTGAATGACATGGGTTTAGCCTTTATTGGTTTTCTGAGGAGAGTGGGCCTGGTACCTCTGAAAACACTAAAGAACAGCCCACGCTCCACAGTGATCATTTCCAGCAGATGCAGTCTCAGTCCGTCTGCCTCAAGCTCAGCGCACAAGGATCGCAGTCCCTAAAGCCGTAGTCACTGCCTGCTCTTCGGCCTGCCATTGAGTAGTAGATGGACATTTAAGTTTTTAATGAATGAACTGAAATTGTCTGCTAAGGGGGTGCCTGGGTGGCTCAGTGGGTTAAAGCCTCTGCCTTCGGCTCAGGTCATGATGCCAGGGTCCTGGGATCGAACCCCACATTGGGCTCTCTGCTCAGCAGGGAGCCTGCTTCCTCCTCTCTCTCTGCCTGCCTCTCTGCCTACTTGTGATCTCTGTCAAATAAATAAATAAAATCTTTTAAAAAGCAAAAAAGAAATGAAATTGTCTGCTAGGTGTCAGAGAAGCTTCACTTCTCACAGTGTTAACTTGCACTGTGATGTGTTCTTAGTTTAGGATTCTGATCGTTGTTGTATCCTCTGCCATGCTACTTTGAGTTTAGGAGTGATAGAACTCTATTACTGTGGCATTTAGCTGTTTTACTAAGATGCACACTGAAAATTAAGTCTATTGGATCTAATAAAGAGAAGTATAAAGTATAATGCTAGCATGTGTGCTGCTGTGTCGTCAGTCTGCTTCTGATAGAGATTTCCCTCTTCCTGAGTCTAGACAAGGGACACCTACTGCCAGTCAGGTGGCAGACGACGTGAACCCAGGACTCCTTGGGTATCTCAGGCCTGGGGCCAGTCACAGGCCAGCTGTGTGCAGTCTTCTAGGTTTCAGAGACCATCCCAACTTAAGCCTATCTCAGCCACAAAGGGACTTCATGAAAAGAGCTAAAGACCTGAAATATGGTGGACCTATCAATAAATGGGCCCCCATTGACAAGAGTTGTCTTTTGAAAGAATAGCTTTTCTCACGAAAGTCACAAACATGGAAACAGGAACCACATTCTTTTGAAGAGTTGTAGTTAGAGAGCAATGGAGATCGCACTTCAGGGGAAGGTGGAGGTTAGATTGGAGATGGCAGCAAACAACCCACCCAAAAATGGAGAATAGAGCAAGCAATGAAGACATGTGACAAAATAGTTTCTCTGAGAATCCACACAGCCCTTTGTATCTCTGTTAGCCCAGAGGCATCATAAAGCTACACATTGAGGATGAATGCCATAGGCATATGATAACTTTGGCTTTTGGGCTTTTTAGAAGGAGTAACTTTCTAGCAGTTTGTAGCTTTTCAAGATTGAATGGCTGTGCTAATACCAAGTGAGGTTTATCCCAGCAGTGTACGGCTAGTTATGTGCTTTTATTCTGCTACAGTTTAGCAGTATTTGTCTGCATGTTTTACCCTTCTTTCCTCCTGAAGTCTTCAAAATAAGTTACTGTTTATAATAAATACTTGGAAATACAAAGTTTGCCTACTTCATTTAGATTATATCTGCATTATAATGAATGCGATAATTTGAAATTGTATTGTTGATAAAGTTGCCGTTAAATTTGTTGAATTATCTGGTTATGTTTGACTTGTGAATGGAGAGCTAGTTTTAATTGTTTGGTAGAACCACAGTTCTGTTAGGTTTTATATAGAATCTATAGTAACCACTAAGCAAGGATAATATCTTTTAAAAATAACTTTGTTCATTTTAGTAGTTTTGAGAAGAATATCCAAAGCAATCAAAGAAGTTAAAATAATTTCCATAATAGGAAAAGAGATCTTAATGAGGTCAGTGAGCTTTCACAGTACACTTTTTTTTTCCACAGTATACTTTTTTTAAGCTATAGTATATAAAAGAAATTCATTTAAAGGAACTTCTTGTCTTCAAATCATTTTTTCAATTTACTACATTGTTAAACTCTCCTTGTTTAGTACATTTCAGCCTGTTTAAAATACAATTTTTGCCTTCATATTTACAAAATAGAATTTCACTTTAAGAGTTCTGCACTGTATTTTCTTGACTTATATTTTGCAGGATGGAGGTTTGCTTCTGAATAACCCTTCGGCACTAGCAATGCACGAGTGTAAGTGTCTTTGGCCCGACGTCCCGTTGGAGTGCATAGTGTCCCTGGGCACTGGGCGTTACGAGAGTGATGTGAGGAACTCTGTGACATACACAAGCTTGAAGACCAAACTGTCTAATGTTATCAACAGTGCCACAGATACAGAAGGTCAGTCCATCTATTTGCCGCCTTAAAGCACTTTAACTTCCAGAGTTCAGTGTTTGGTAGCTTATGCTGATGCTGCCTACAAAAGAATATGTTATGTCTGTCTAGGGGGCTCAGGAAGCAGAGGGGAGCAAATCTTTTGTTGTTTTCATGTCTCCTCACTCATTTCTTCTAAGGGACCCCTGAACAGAGACTTTTCTTCCTCTGTGCGCTAGTACTCCCGTGCCTAAGTGTACAGTTGGAGAAGTTTCTACAGCTGATCAGCACGAAGGTTCAGTTGGAGACTTAAAATACACATCAGATCTTGTCTTTATCCTGCTCAGAGCCTCTAGGCTTCCCATCATATGTAGAACAAAATCCAAAAGCCTCATTCACTGAAATTTAGTAAGCCCTTTGAGACCTAGCCTTTGAATACATCTCCTCCCCCATTCCTCACACGTGTCCCCGCTACCAGGTGGCCCTCAGTCTGGTTCAGAAGTCTCTTGCCTTGGGCCCTTTGCAGTTGCTGTGCCCTCTCCGTGTGAGGTTTTCTTCCGTTAGGTTCATACTTGATTCACTCCGCTTTTTCATTCAGGCCTCTGCTCAGATGTCACTTTCTCAGAAAGACCTTTCCTGATTCCTTTCTGTCCCCCTCACTATGTCATTCTACCCTCTTACCCTGCTTCTTCCTCTTTTTTTTTTTTTTTGACTTAGAGCATTTCTCTCACCACGTGGCTGTGTGTCACACATTTGCTTGTTTCGTTTCTTACTCTCTCTGTTCCACGAGAATGTAAGGTGGGAGGCTGTCCAGTTACCTGTGTTGACTGTGCTGCCTGCACATAGTACGCAGTCAGTGAGTATTTATCCAATTTCTAGTTTTGGCCTTGAAGTCTAGAACTCTTATTTTGTTACTTTAAGTCTTACATGAAATCTGTTACTCAGTTCTTAAAAAGAATTGTTACCACTTACCAACCCCTTGCTTCTGAATCTCATTCTTTTCATATCATTGTGTTACTAGCCTAGTCTTTAGTCCACATGAGAGTCTTAAACTCCCCACTGAGGACTTTTATCTAGTAAGTGACAACCCAAAAGAAGCTTGTATACTGGATTTTTCACTATCTGAAATTTTGTTGTCAAAATCAACAAAATACTCTTTTTTCTTTCTTATTTTTCCATCACGTTTTTATTAGATCACAGCACAAATGCATTTGACTTAAACTAGAATACTAAACTTCTGAATGTCTGCCGTGAAGTAAATGCCTATGGCATTATAAAACAGTTTTCTTAAAGATGATGTGACATTGATTCTGTGATACATGTGGCATATTTTTATGTACATGCAAATGAATAGTTAAAATTGAGTAGTGCTTCATCTGTGACTTAAAAAGAGGAAAAGAGGGCCACCTGGGTGGTTCAGTCAGTTAATCATTCTACTCTTGATTTCAGCTCAGGTCATGATCTCAGGGTCATAATACAGAGCCCACCGAACATGGAGCCTGCTTTAAGATTCTCTCTCCCTCTGCCTCTTCCCCACTTGTGCATGCTCTCTCGCTCTCTCTCTTAAAAAAAAAATTGTAAAAGAAAATTTCTTACTATTTTTCATTAAACTGTGGAATTAACACCATCGTTACCAGGAAGCATATTTCTAGGGGCAGCTGGATGGCTCCCAGTCAATTCTGGAGCCCTAGGATCGAGCCCTGCATTGGGCTCCCTGCTCAGCCAGGGAGTCTGCTTCTCCTTCTGCCCCTCACCCTGCTCATGCTCTCTCTCTCTCTCTCTCTCAAGTAAATAAATAAAATCTTTTCAAAAGTTTTTTTGAAAAGCATATTTCTAGATCTGTACAGTATTCTTACTTTAAGCAATCTGCTGAGAAAAAGAAAGCTTTAATCAGCCAGTCTCAAAATGCTTGTATGTCTATCTGCTGCACATCATCTGATGGGCTAATTTAAAATTTTTCAAGAAACAAGTAATGCTGTTTCCATAACTTAACACCCTTCTTAATGAAGAACTTGAGTGAAACACATGCAATTGCTGATACTAGGTGGTTGTTGACCCATAAAAACTGTAATTTCATTTAGCTCGATCTGATGCATTATCGGTTGCTAAATAAATGGTGAAGAGTTGCAGATGATTAAGATGATGAATTAAGAGGAGGAATAAGAAAATGAAACTAGGTTATTGTAAATAGACTAGGGGCACCTGGGTGACTCAGTCGGTTAAGCATCTGCCTTCAGCTCAGGTCATGTTCCCAGGGTCCTAGGATCAAGCCCTGGGTTGGGCTCCCTCCTGAGCAGGAAGCCTTCTCCTTCTCCCTCTGCCTGCTGTTCCCCTTGCTTGTGCTCTCCTCTTTTTCTCTGTCAGGTGTACAAAAATCTTAAAAACAAAACAAAACACCAAAGTAGACTTGATATAGGTCTTAAAGAATAATAGGGTTTAGAGATTTTAAAAGAGGGTTAAGACTGCCACTTCTGACCATGATAAAATAATAGAGGCCATATATCTCTCCCACCTGAAACCATTAGCAAACAATAGAACAGTGGCTTTCAGCCATTAGATGAGGTGCCATGGGTTCGTGATCTCTGCGAGAAGGAAAATAAATGAAGTAATCCCTGCGATTGCCCTGCTTGCTACCTGAAAAAAAGGTTTCTAGGTGGTAGCAAAGAAGGGGTGGACCCAAAAAAAGCGGATAGAATACAGAGTTGGAGTTCATGGAGGCCCAGGAAACTGGAATTTGTGGGCAAAATACTACAGAGGAGGCAGCTTCACAGAGAGAGTGCTCCAAAGATATGCAGGGGAGTCCCCTGGAGTACTGATATGTACATGCATGTGAGGAAGCTCCCCAACGCAAGGCCAAGAACCACCAGGAAGAATTAGACACAGCTCTTCTTGGAGCTCACACAGGAGCCAAAGTAGCTCAGATTTTTATCAAGTAGGTTACAAGGACCTGGTAATAGACGAGATGTGCAGAGGAGTTCTCAAAAAGAGTATTGTCTCAGTGGCAGCATCAGATTAGTTCCAGAGTGAGGGCTGCTTAGGATCCACTCTCACACTGCTTAAAAGCAGCCCTCAAATAGATGGAATTGAATCCAGTTAACAGCATCCATTGTTAGAATAAAGTCAAGATTATAAGGGATACAGCAAATTCCAGCACAGAAAAATAACAAAAATTCACAATGTTTGGTGTCCAGTACAAAATTACCAGGCATACAAAGAAGCAAGAAAAGACACCCTTCACCAGGAGAAGACCCAGTCAGTGGGAACAGACCTAGCTATGAAACAGATGATAGGCAATTAGCAAAGGTATTACAGTAACTATTAAAAACATACTTTGCATGTTTACTGGGCTGGAGGAAGACTGGAATATGATAAGGAGAGGAATGATACAAAAGAGGCCCAAATCAAACTTCTAGAGGTGAAAAATACACTGTTTGAAATGAAAAATACAGCTGATAAGATTAACAGCAATTCTGCATAAAAACTTGCAGAAAATAGAAGAAGGGTAAATACATCCCAGGTCATTCTATCAGGCCAATATTACCCTGACACCAGAACCAGAGGAGAAAAAAAAATTATAAAATGCATAAAAATAGCAATTCCCTATTAGTCTCCCCATGCTGAAATCCTTAAAATATACTAATAAATTGAATTCAGCAATCTATTAAAAGGAGAACAGAGTATAACCAAGTAGGATTCATCCCAAGAATACAGGATTGGTTTAATGTACTAAAAATTAATGAAATTTACATGTTAATTTAAGACAAAAAATGAAAAATTTGTGGCATCAATAGATGAAGAAAAGACATCTGATAGATGAAAACTCATAGTAAGTTAGGAACAGAAGGGGACTTCCTTAGCCCAACAGAGGGCATCTATTCAAACAAACAAACAAAACCCCTAGAGCTGGCATCATATTTGATGATGAAAGACCGAAAACTTTCTGTGTTAAGATCAGAAGCAGAGTAATATGTGTCTCATCATTTCCAGTCAGCATTGTTCTGGAGATTCTTTCCAGTATATCCAGCATAGCAAGGCACTGAAAGGAAATAAAAGGCAGCTAGATTAGAAGGGAAGTAAATATTTATAGATAACACCATTGTCTATGTTGACAATCTATTAAAAGGCTCCTAGAACTAACAAGTGAGTTCAGCAAAGTTGGAGAATACAGAGTCAGTAAAACTCAATTGTATTTCTGAATACTAGCAGTTGGAAATTAAAATTAAATATATACAAAGATAAATATTATGTATAATAGCACAAGAATGTTAAACACTTGAAGGAATTACTTGTTTTAAATTATATGCAAGACCCGAACAGTAAAAACTGCAAAACATTCCCGGAAGAAATTAAAGAAGTTCTGAATAAATCAGTAGATATACCATGCTCATGAATTGGAAATCTAGTGGTGTTTTAGTGGCACACCGCAAATTGACCTGTAGACACCATGCAATTGCTGTAAAAATCTAGATAGCCTTTTTCTGGGGTAGAGATTTAACAAGATGACTGTAAAGTTTATATGGATATGCAAAGGACCTGTAAGAACCAAAACAATTTTGAAAAAGAACAAAATTGGAGGATTTATACTTTCTAATCTCGAGACTATAAAACTGCAGTAAGCAAAGGACTGTGGTATTTGCATAAAGATAGACATATAGATCAGTGCTGCCTAATAGTACAGAAATTGATCCATACATGTAATCTCAAAAGATTTTTGACAAGGTAACTCAGTGGGAAGGGATAGTCTTTCCAACCAATAGTACAGGGACAATGAAGTAACCATATTCAAAGTGAGCCTTGACCCTTCACACCATATACAAAAATTAATCTGAAATGGATCATAGACTTAAATAAAAGAGTTGAAACTGTTAAACTTCCAGAAGAATACCCTGAGAAAATCTTAATGACTTGGGTTAGGTAAAGATTTTTTAGATAGAACACAAAAAGCATGAACCAAAAAAGAAAAAATAGATAAATTAGACTTTACCAGGGTACAGATTTTGCTCTTCAGAAGACAGTCTTAGTGAAATGAAAAGCTATAGGCCGAAATAAAATACTAGCAAAACGTATCTGATCTATTACCAGAACCAAATATATAAGCAGATCCAAACCATATAGAGAATTCCCACAATATTTATATAAGAAATACGTAAATTCAGGGGCATCTGAGTGGCTCAGTGGGTTAAGGCCTCCAGGCTCAGGTCATGATCTTGGGGTCCTGGGGTCGAGCCCCGCATCATCGGGCTCTGTGCTCAGCAGGGATCCTACTTCCCCCTCTCTCTCTGCCTGCCTCTCTGCCTACTTGTGATCTCTGTCTGTCAAATAAATAAATAAAATCTTAAATAAATAAATTCACTAAAAAAAATGGGCAAAATATTTGAACAGACACTTCATTGAAGAAGATATGCAGATGACTAAAAGGTACATAAAAGACTTCACACCATTAATCATTAGAAATGAAAAGTAAAACTACAAGGTAAAAAGTAAAACTACACATCCTCTAGAATGGCTAAAATTAAGGCTGACAATACTAAGTTTTGACAAAGATGTAGAACAGTGGGACTCTGATATATTAATGGTTGGAATGCAGAATGGTACGGCCATCTGGAAAACAATGTTGCAGTTCTTCAGAAGATCAACATGTAACATTGTGTGCCTGCTATACTTCAGTTAAAAAAAAATAAACATGCTTTTACCATATGACCCAGGAGTCTCATTGCAAAGTATTCTCTCAAGAGAAGTGGAATCTGTTATCCACAGGAAGACTTCATGTAAATGCTTACAGCAGAATTATTCCTACTAGCTAAAAACTGAAGAGAACCAGAACTGGAAAGAACAAATTGTGATGTGTCTGTGCAGTGGAATTCTACCCACCAATTAAAAGGGAAGGAGCTGTTGTGACAAGGGGTGAATTTCAAAAGAATATTGCTAAGTAAAAGAAGCTAGTCCCAGAAGAGCTAGCTATATATTTCTGATTCTGTTTATATGAAATTCTAGAAAAGGCAAAGAGTAAGAAGAGGAAGAAGTACAAAAAGGCATGAAGAAACTTTTTTGGGGTGATAGAAATGTTCTGTCATAACTGGTGTGATTACACAAAGATACACATTTCTCAGAACTTCTCAAATTATACACTTTAGATTGGTGAGTTTTGTATGCAAATTATACCTCAGTAAAGACGATACCAAAAATCATAAAACGGTAAAAGGAAAGTTGTAAAGGCATTTCAGCAGTGGCTAACAGTATGACCAGAAACGGAGAAAAGAGAACAGAGGAGCTAGTAATCTAATTAGCAGAGTTACATGAATGATCCTGGGAGATGAATTTCATTTTGTAGTTACAGTCATTAGTATGGAATCCTTGGACCGACTGTTAATTGGCTGGCATGATGAAATAAAGCTTTGTAATTTGCTCTCAAAGAAGATAATTTTAAATAAGGATAAAATTAGATCATTGCAGAATAAATCAATTTTCTTAACTACCCTGTTCTCTCTCTCTTTGTTTCAACAGAAGTTCATGTAATGCTTGATGGTCTGTTACCTCCTGACACCTATTTTAGATTTAATCCTGTAATGTGTGAAAACATACCTCTGGATGAAAGCCGAAATGAAAAGCTCAATCAGCTGCAGCTGGAAGGGTTGAAGTACATAGAAAGAAATGAAGAAAAAATGAAAAAACTTGCAAAAATACTAACTCAAGAAAAAACAACTCTGCAGAAAATTAATGATTGGATAAAACTAAAAACTGACATGTATGAAGGCCTTCCGTTCTTTTCAAAATTGTGATAAGGGTATGTATATATTTTCATAAGCGAGAGCCTGATCAGAAGATCAATAAGTTCCGTAAGGAATTGACGGGATTCAGCATGAGTTGACTTAGAAGTACTAGCAAATCCTGGAAAAGTATGTGCTTGGACCAGCTTGCGTGGTACAGAGGGCATGCTGGGTTTCAGAATTCATATGGGAATTAGGTTTTTATGATGTGAATAACAGTGCTCTAGGAGTCTTTATTATTGTGCTAGTTGGTTTTAGTAAATACTGCTGTTCTATTGTTTGATATTTGAGAATTTATTAATATATGTGCCAAACAAGAACTATCATCGTCCTATACTTGGTATTTTTGCTTCAGTTACCATAATCATGTGGAATATATTTGATACTGATTTACTGCCATGGGGAAAATCTAATTTCTTCTTAAATTTCCATCACTTACATTTTCACAAGGTATAGTCTAGGATCCAAATGTTGACTTTTACTGGATTATCATATAAACAGATACATAGAAATAGAATTTTCTGTGTCAGAGGGCTTTTACATTTGAAATATGAAAGAATCAGATAAAGTTCTGTTCAAAATACGTTTATTTCCGTCAACATCATTTGGTTCACAAAGATAGGTGAAGCTCCAGTCAACCACTTTTCCCTCTGAAATTTCAAGATAATTCTGGGTGTTAACTTTTCTAGCTCTAGCTTATCATTCACTGTTAAAAAAATTAATTATTTGAATTTACTGAGAAGATAGCTCTATCATTAACAAAAGTAAACTATTGAAATAATATACTGTTAAAAGGCTAATGTCGTTTTTAAAAATTTTTTTACTGTTCATACGAAATGTAGCTTCCTATCTCATAAGCATTTGAATATACCTGCCAACAGTGTGCTTAGAAAAATAAGTTTTGTTTCATCTGATTAACTTCTTTAACCAGTTTGGATTTCATGGAGGTTGTATATATGCCAACCCAGATCATGGTTTATGCCAACCACATTCATCTTTGCTTTGTTACCTATCTGCTATGTAAATCCTTACATCACATGTAGATTTGTCAAGGAAAATGAGAAAAGGTAAATGCCTTTTGTTTTGTACATACCAGCTAAAGCTAAACCCACTGCTGGATGATTCCATTGCTTCTTCAGAACGTGAATTTATAGAGGCTGTGAGGCATGGTTCAGAGCACTGGGGGGAGCTAAGAGTCTGGATGCTAATCTGACCTCTGATGCAAAGTCCTCTATGTGACCAGGAGGAGAGCGACAGCCTCTCTGGGCTTTGGGTATTTCGTTTATCAAATGAGAAAAGCTAGCTTGAAAATTTTATTTACTCTTTTATGACAATCCAAATTCTGCCGATGTACAAGCACAAGATGGGAAGAGATGTGAAAATGAGTGTTTAGTCTACCAGTGTTAAACTGGTAGAATATCTGCTCTTTTCAAAGAAGCAAAGAGGAAAAATCGTCTGTTTCAGAAATGTAGTAAATTCTCCAACTCATCAGTTATATTAAAAAATGGAATAAAAATTGTTTTGATGCTCAGGCCTTTTGGAGTGCCTGAAAATTCTTATTTCTGTGATAAAGGGTATGCTGGCCATGTTTCAGTTCTCTTCTCGCCGCAGATAGTATTCTTTATTAAAAATAGTACCTGCGATAGAGTTGTCCCTAGAGGCATATGGGCTGCATGGGATTTCCCCCGGAGCGGGGAGAAAACACGGCCTGGGCTAAAATTACCCTATGAGCCTTTTCTCCTCCCACACACGTTTTACCCAAGAGAAAGTAGATGTCAGAGGAATCTTCTGAGAGGGAAGAAAGTCACAAAAAGCTTGCAGTCTGAGGGAAGGGAGGAGATCTCACAACTTTGTTTCAGTGTTGGGGTAGATGGGTTCCCTCGGAGCTTCCCCGTTGGCTGCTACCATCAGTTGCCTCCGCTTTCCCCTTCCAGGGAGTGGCTGATTACTGAAGCAGCCGGGATCCCAAAAGAGAGTTCGTTGGAAGCTCAGAGTTTTTACCAAACCTGCTGTGCTTTAGAAATAATTCTAGGCACAGTGTTGAATATTTCACAAGTGGCAGTGCTAATGATGTGACTAAAAGTAATGACTAAAAATACAGGTCTGTAAACTCCAAATGACATGGTTTTGACATAATGTAAGTAAATATGAAAATACCAGTGGTTTCTAAAGATACTGTCAAATAGTCCACAAATACTGCATATTTTTATGCAACTAGAACTGCCTGTAAGAAAAGTACAAATAATTGGCAGTCAGAATGAGTACCCAGAAGTATTTTGCTTGTGATAAACCATTTCAAGCACAATAAAAGTAGTGTGTAGTTCACATATCGGCACCTGTCACAAGGTCAGTCTTCCCTAACGTGCTGCAGCTACTCCATTCCACCGCGAAGTTAACTCTCTGTCCTTGTTCTCGCTTGGCTGATCATTTCCTTCTGTTCTGAACAGTGCAGAATTGACCAGTGTACTCTGGCCACTGCTGCTCTCCTAAAGTACATGGCATGGCACTTGAGTATGGCCCCATGTCCCCGTCCCTGTCCATCAGCTCTTTCCACTGTCTAACAAAGGGTGAACCCAGAACACCCAGCTCAATGGTATACCAGTGTTCAGTTATTCTTGTCCCCATTTGTACTTGAACCTCATTATCTGAAGAACTGTGTAATTCACCTGGAATAACCCTCATTTTATAATGAAACCAGTACTTTCCACGCTCCAAAAGCAAAGTGGATTTCTTTCCAGAACAGAAGCAAAGAACACTTCTGAAAGATGAGCGCTTGCTATGAAGTAGGTTATGGATTCTTCATTGCACTCTTTTTAAAGTAGGGTAAGTTCTTTATGAGAGAAAATTCTTGAAGATAGATAAATGACCTCTTTAGATTCCTTCAAACCCTATAATTCTGTGGTAGTTTATAAAAGTAAACTGGTAAATAAGATACACGAAACAAGAAGTTAGGGTATTTTTTTCTTCTTTGTTCATTGTATAAGATTTAACTGATGTCTTTAGCAAACAGTTTATGTTTCTTGATAAACTTTTATATTTAAAAGAGCTTGTTTTCATTATTCCAATAGATATTTTTTCCTTTGTAACCATTTTATATATTTAAAATATGTTAATATGTGCCTTGAAAATGGATTGATTTTTTAAATTCGGATTGAAGCACTAATATTTATCCACTATCAATAATTTTATTACAACTAACTTCAACAAAGTTGATTTAATTGTGGTTCTGTTTTTACATTTAGGGAAATTTCAAAGCCGTGGAATTAGAGAAACATAGATGTGTTTTGTTCAGTATTTTCACACCTATAGAGGAAACTTAAATACTGAATGTTCTTATGATTGCTAATAGCTAATACCTAGGAGTTATATGCTAACCATTACAATGAAAGCTCTATGTTCATCATCTCAGTAGGCTTCATTCTATGCCTGTGAATCCTTATACTATCCTTGTACTACTATTATTCCTGTTTTCCACCTAAGGAAATCAAGGCAGTTAGAAAGTTAACTAACGAAATAAAAAAGAAAATTATAAATATTTTTAAGTTTTTCTTTTTACTCTCCCAGTTATCCAGGGACAAAAGTTATTCATTATACAGACATATATTGACTGCCATCTTTATTCCACAATGGATTTCACCCTTTACATCACCCGTATTTGAAGATCAATTCTTATTTTACTTGCTGTGTCTCTTTTCCCTTTATTTTTTACAGTGTGTTGAAGTATAATTTTCATACCAGAAGTCACCCATTGTAACTGTACAATCCAATAATTTTTAGTAGGTTTATACTAGTTATGTAACCATCACCATAATCCAATTCTAGGGCAGTTCCATCATTCCCCCCTCCCCCGAAAGTTTCCTCATGCTTGTTTATAGTCATTCCCTGCTTCTGTCCCCAGCCCCAGACAAATACTGATCTGCCTGTCGAGAGTTACCATTTCTACATATTATATACACCTGGAATTGAGCAGCAGTGATCTTTTGACTCTGGCTTCTCTCACTTCGCCTGTTTTTGAGATTTGTCCAGGTTGTGGCACACGTCAGTCGTTGGCTCCTCCTCACTGTTGAGTGGTAGTCCATTGTATGGACATACCACATTTGTTCATCCCTTCACAAGCTGATGACCATAGGAGCTGTCTTCAGTATTTACCTGTGATGAGTAATGCTCCTCTGAAATTCACAGACAAACCTCTCTGAGGACATACATTGTCATTTTTCACGAACAAGTATCCGGAAGTGTAATTGCTGCTGTTGTATGGTAAGTGTGTTTAACTTCTCAGGAAACAGCCAAGCAGTTCTCCAGAGTGTCTGGACCACTTTACATCTGCCATCAGCGCTGCAGGAGAGTTCAGTTTCTCCATGCGTTTACCAGACCTGGGTGTTGTCTGTCTGTCTGATGACCACCATCCTAGGGGATCGGTGGTGCTATTCCACGGTGGTTTTAATGTGCAGTCTTCTAATGACTGTGGATGACAAGCATCTTACGGGTGCCTACAAGCTATTTGAAGATCTTCTTTGGTTAAAATGTTCAAATCTTTTGCCCATTTTTCTTTTGATTTATTTGCCGCCTCTTAGGGAATTGTAAGAATACTGTGTGTGTGTGTGTGTGTGTGTGTGTGTGTGTGTGTAGGGGCATCCAGTTGTCCCAACATCATTTTTTGAAAAAAAAAAAAAAAAAAAAAAAAAAAAAAAATCCCCTCACCACTGAATTGCAAATGTACGTTTGTCAGAAATCTGTTGTCTTATATTCATGAGTCTGCTTCTGGACTCCATGCTGTTCCATTAATCTGTGTGCTGTTCCTGTACCAGTACCTCACAGTTCTTATTACCATAGACATATAACAAGTTTTGAAGGTGGAGTATAATTCTAACAATTTGTTCTTTTTGAAAATTATTTTGCATTTTTGGTTCCTTTGCATTTCCTTATAAATTTTACAGCCAGCTTGTTTATACACACACACACACACACACACACACACACACAAGAATGTGATAGGGACTACATTGACTATATAAAGTTGAGAGAACTGACATTTTACTATTGAGTCTTTGAGTGGTATCGGTCCTTGAAGGCATATGATGAACATGAACTCTCTCTCTGTTTATTTGGATATTCAAAACACTTTTTCTCAGCAATGTTTTACAGTTTTCAGTATACACATCTTGCACTCCTTTTGTTAAATTTATTTCTAAGTATTTTATCCATTTTGATGCAATTGTGAATGGAACTGATTTTTCTTTTTAATTTCACTTTCTAATTGGTCCTAGTATATAGAAATACATACATAGAGTGATTGCAATTCTGATAACATGATTTTCCAGTTTGTGAATTATCAAACTAGTAATGTCACAATGACCTTGCCCATGAAATATGGACAGAGTGTAGTAAATTGTGAAAAATAATTGCCGTATTAATGGTCTTAGTGGTAATGCATGATTGTGATAGTTCTGGGTTATTATCTTTGGACAGTGAACATCTATTAAAGTGTCTAATATTAATTGTGCAACAACATGTATATGTATTAAATATCACACATTATTACTGTATTATTTTGGCATAAAGGTATTTAGAGCTCTAGGAATTTTGTTGATTTAGAAAATGTCAGACCCTGGATTCTGGATCAGATGATATTTTTTTGTTGGCAGGCACTGAGTAACTTAGCAGTTACTGAGTGACATTTCAGCATTTTATTTTGAATTTATATCTGATTAAATGTGTTAATTGGCTTAGAGTTCAATCTCAGTAAATACATGAATTATAAGCTATTTTAGAAAAGAAAAGCATGTTAG